AGGTGTTCGCCAAAGCGTCGATAGGAGCTATATGTGATACGTTTGTGCGATGCGAGAAATCACATTGGTTCGTCGCAAAAATTGGCGATGTTCTCTCTCAGCGTCTCGAGACAAGTCACGATCAACAAGTTTCGCCCAATGACTTAATCTTAAAGTACTGACACCCGACACGGATCCACGTCGAGTACGTGTACACCCTTGTGCCTTTCTTCTTCGCACCCTCCTGGAATTCGTAGCTGTCGTTTCGAATCACGTCGAGAAGTCTCGGAGGGACTACCGTCAATTAATCGTGCCTGGCCAATCTTGAAGGGTCGCGAGCTCGGATAAGGAGTAAAGGGCAAGAACGGAGAGAGGCGTCGGAATAACCTAATCAGAGTTCGGGCGGTGCGGACCACCCCGCGTCACGCTCTGCTTTGGCTACGTCCAACGTAACGTCCAGCATCCCGTCCGAATCCGATTTGTCGGCTCGTTTGCCGCTTTGGAGCCATTTCGGGGATATATTATTGGCTGAAATTCGAACAGTTTCTCTGCAGATCCACGCTCGGTTAACATTCTTCGGTTGCTGGGTGAACGATTCCTCGTCCCAAACACACACATCGTGTAAATCTCGTTCTTCTCGATGATTCTCATTTATAATTCGTTAGTTTGATGTAACACATTGTTCTCTTTATAATCTTTTTGTAATGTCGTATTTCAGATGAGGACCTCATCTGTTATGGTTCGTTGAAGTCTTCGGAGATTTCGTTGAAGTCTCCGAGGAGTCTCGCTCTCGATGCTGCACATCTCTGCACATTTGTCGCCCCTGATCGCTCTGATCTTGATCGAAATTTTATCGCAGCAGTTTCATGCTTCGTGACTTTGCAAGCAACTTCTCTGCAAATTTCTCTGAGAACGACCCACTTGGGCTTTTTGCAATTTTTCTAATCTATCTCCTAAGGAGATACCTAGAGACTTTTAGACGCGCGCTATTACGGCCAGCAAAAATAGAAGGGAATCGATAATCCGCGTCTGAAGAAGTGCACACCGAGTGCGCTCGTCATTTGTAATCTTGGACAATCTTGGACGAATCACGTGGGGACACGTGGAGATATACGATGCACAATCTATTCGCGCGTACATGTAGCATGTCGGATAATTCTCAAAACAAACGAATTATATATCTTTAGAGACTAGAGCAGAGTGGATATATATATATCGTAGCGAGAGAAACTATGAAACAATTGGTCCAGGACCAATTCTATTTTCTGTCTGAAAGACGTGTCGTTACCAAGAGAGACATAGAATAAGACCGAGAGACAGAATATCCGAAAGCTGGCAACATTATGTAGCCGCGACTATATGTATATATATTCGTAAATTGTAATTCGCTCGATCAAGCGATAACCGGGCGGAACAGACCGGGACGGATTATCGATGTCGCGTACTCGTTATGAGGTTGCGATCGATATCGGCCGGCCGATTGTTACCAGGAGACAGCCCCCCCCCCGTATAGCCGGTATAGGGGGACAGCCCCGAAGCATTTCGCTTACCCCAGCCCTACGGCCCTACCCTCTTTCAGCTGCGCCCTAATATAAATATTATTACACTTTGATAGGGTTAGGGTGACACTAGAGCCCCACAGACATTCCATGAATATCTCGTGTCGTCATCGCTTTCGCTCGTTTTTTCACGCTCGCTTTTTCATCAGGTCCGAATTCTGCGCGACATAAGAGCCTAAGCCCTTCCTTCGACCTATCACCCTTTACGCGGTATCTTGTGCTACGATATCGATGTCGATTCGATATCTCTCTCTCTCTCTCTCTCTCTCTCTCTCTCTCTCTCTCTCTCTCTCTCTCTCTCTCTCTCGACCGATCGACCGACCGACCGACCGACTGACCGACCGACCGACCGACCGACCGACCGATCGCGCATCGAATTGCGAACAAACAGGAGAGGAAACATTTTCGAAAGAAATTGTTTCTTCGACCAATCTTACAAAACTTGTTTCATTCGCGTACTCGTCGAAATATTCAGATACAGACTTGAGAGATCAATAATGAGGTATGTCGACACACACAATACAAAGTGTAACACGTTGTATTCTTCGGTAACAATGATATCTTTAATAACCGGTTCAACAACATTACAGTGTCATAGGATTTCAATTATATACGTATCTCGAATTACCTGGTTGTTCATCAATTAAATATACATACATACATGTGTGTGTGTGTGTGTGTATGTGTGTACACGTAAAGTGCGGATGTATTGCAGGTAGGATGCTACGTTTATGATAATTTCGAGATGCACGATAGACTGTTTGTCGCGCACGGTATAATATGCATATTATACACGAATAATTAAATATATAATACCAGCGACTATACATATTCCCGGTTTATGATATGTGAGTACATGTGAGTATGCGCGCGCATTTCGTACTCTGTCATAATAAAGTGGAGATCACCGGTGTCAGTCACTCTGTACTATGTCTCGCAACATTTGAACAAACCAAGTTAGATTCGATTAGATTTCGACGTAGGAGAAAAAGAATGTCATACTTATATATCGTCGCTTACACAGGGCTCGCAATCAATACAACACATGTAGGTCAGATCTAAAATTGCCCAAAATTGTCATTATTTAAAATGACAAGTTATAAAGGCAAGGTAATGGGAGAGATTCTCGTTCCGGTCAAGAGGTGTGTCGTGAGCTACAAGAAAATGTATTTTACGAAATAAGTTCAAGCGAACGAGTAAACGACTAAATTTGGAACGGAAAATTTCAGCAACAAATTATGTAGGATCTGTAGCTGATTGGAGTGGCGTTAATTGTGAACTATCTTGTGTGTGCGACTTTTCCGCACGCGTAGGAAATCACTTTCTCTTCTTTTATCGCGCACGCATAATGTGTGTGTGTGTGTGTGTGCGTGTGTGTGTATATACGTATATTTACAAGAGACAAAAGAAGCTACAAGTAGTTTTTATGCGATATACGTGTAATATGTGTATGTATAACCATAGTGCAATCGATGCAACGCCTTGCCGATAATGAAGTCTCGGTACTCTCGGTACGCGATAGCTTGACGACTTCACTGGTCTCGAATCGAGAAGGAACGCGCGAGAGAGCACCTTATGTAAACGTAATTTGTCTAACGAACGCACGATCGTCCTAATCATCTTAAATGTAGGTCGCTAAAAAAATTAATAAAGCAGGGTCGGTCGAAAGTCACGTTAACTCGGGGATTCCTTGCGAGTGTTAGCCTTACCATCGCGTTAATTCGGTCTCGATCTACCAGCGGAATCGCGGCAAGTATTATCGGCGAGTCACACGTCGTCGTTACGATAAAATCCTTAAGTTAAGTAGAGGCCAGCTCATAGAAATGAAACGCCACAACGCGAAAGGTAGAACGCTTTTTCTCTTTCAGCTATAAAAGAAAATACGTAGCCTATGTTTAGGTACATGCTCGTGTGTATATATATATATATATATATATATATGTACATATATATATATATATATTGCGGTCTAATAAATAGTGTCTATCTACGTTACACGTTACGTTATCGGGTACACACTTGCTTGGATGCAACGGGAGAGTTGACGATATTCGTTCGTACTACGAGTCTCGCGACAACAGGGATAAAAACCGCAAAAAGTTCAGGCACTGTTAACTCAAAGTTAACTCGCGACGAGCCTCGTGGATCCGCGCGGTGCGGCCGCGAGTGCTTCCGAGGTTCGATCGCGAGCAAAGCGGATCCCTTCCTGACGATCGAGGAATCCTCTTCTCGCGCCCTTTAATCGCCGCCGATAATCGTCGTGTCGATGCTTCGCTATCGTTATCGGTACTAGCGCTGATTGATCCTTTGTTCATTTGTTGCTTTCCGCAACTTTCCGTCTCTTAGTATCGACGAGTAGATACGAACGTACTAATGCACGAATGCAGTGCGCTCGGTCGTAAGGCTTGGCAGGTGCCGACGACAAAAGTAGCGAAGACATGTCTACGATCGGTCGGTTGTCTTCTCGACCCCGTAATTCGTTTCTTTCCGCCGCGAGTTGATATTGAGATATGCTTTTCTCGTGGAGGAAATGTTACACGTGGAAACGTACGATCAAAGAATACCACGAGAGTTCAATCTTAAGCACTCGATATATTGCACACAGATTTGTATCGGATATGTCGTAAGTTGAAATTCAATTTGGTACATGTGCTGCGTATTATACGTGCATTTTAGACGATCGAAACACTCTTCGCGATAATCGCTGCAGCGTAACCTTGCAGCCGAGTCACTGTGACACATGATAAAAAAATTTCATGTAATTATATACATATATAGTATATAGAAATGCGTCTATATATATATATGTGTGTGAGTGTGTATGTGTGTATGTGTGTGTGTGTGTGTGTGTGTGTGTGTGTGTGTGCGTGTGTGTGTGTGTGTGTGTGTGTGTGTGTGTGTGTGTGTGCGCGCGCGCCGTGTGTGTGTGTGTGTGCGCGCGTGGTGTGTGTGTATGCGCGCGCGCGCGTCTGTATATATATATATACACACACACATATATACATATATATTTCTTCTAAATATCGCACAGTTTTTCACGATGAACCAAATCGACGAGGTTCAAACGAGATATCTCTTCAATTGGGAAAGTAATCTCATAAAAATACAGATATGTTTACTTTGACGCGCTCGCGCCTTGGTACTGGTATTGCTCTGTTATCGCGGCAAAGTACCCGATCGATACCCAAAGGTATAACGAAGGGACAATAAGACGTTGCGCAGGGAGAAATGTCGCTTTATCTCAATCGTATCTCTTTTAACCAGACATTAATCTTTTATTTATTTGGATTTTTAACGAGATCGTTCCTCATTTTGTACCGATTGGAAAAGTTATTTCTGTCGGTATTCTAAAGATATGGAAATAAATGCGTATGAAACGTAACGTAACATATAATATCGAAAATTTCAAAAAGAAGAAAATTTCGACAGAATTTCACACGCATTTTGAACGAGAGAGAAAAAGAGGTTTTATTTAGCTTTATTAACGTCCATAACAATTAATCATGACAAGGAATTTACATACACATACATGTGTGTGTATGCGTATGTGTAACGAACATTGTAGATTTCGTTAACCAAAAACATGCTTAGTGAATCCAAATTTTATCTTTCAAGTAGTATCTCTCGATGATATTTTTCAATAATTAGCATAACAGGAGTAACACAAGACTCGTCCAAAAATCGGAATTGAGACGAATACTTTGCCATTGTAGAGCGAACTTTAAACGTCGAGTTTTGTCTATCTTTGTCGCAACTCTCTATACATTTACCTACTTAACTTAAAACCTTATTTCCTAAATTTCTGACGCCTTAATTAACGATATGATATTTCCGTCCAGCGATAGAACGATTTTCAAGAAAAGCCGTAAAAACTCAAAACAACTTGCTCAGCAACGAGCGAGCGAACATCTTCGCTGACGGAAAGCTTTTGTCGCGGTTGCGAATCCTCGCTCTTTCTCTTCCGATTTTCTTACGCAACTACAACTTGCGTCCTAAATCGTGCATATTTCACGACAAAAGACGCAAATCCCTTCTCTTTCTTCGCAATAGCGACACACGTTCGTTTCCTCTCACTCTAAATTTATTTCGATGTTGCGTTGCGACTATTATTCACTTTCCATTATTTTTCTTTGCGACGAAAAGGGTCTCTCTCTCTCTCTCTCTCTCTCTCTTTTTTTACGAGCTTATCGTACCAACGCATGTTATTACTTCCACTTCAGTCTTGTAGTTTCAGTGTCACATATTTTGCCGTAAATGACGATGCGCCAAGTCGCAGTTCAGCGCTCGCCTTGTCTCTCCTTATTTCTTCTCGCATCGCGATTCGTGCAGCTAGCGAAATCTCAAGTAGAAGCTCGAATCTCAAGATTCCAGGACCGTCAGGATTCACTGCTGGCAGAATGACTATTTGGAAGTCGTTGCCTCTCATTCCCGACCAAGGTTGACGATACTCGGAGTACGATCGAGATTCAGCGAGCGCGCTTGCTTCTCCGCCGATAAGTGGAAGCCTGTCTCAAAGACTCTCTCTCTCTCTCTCTCTCTCTCTCTCTCTCTCTCTCTCTCTCTCTCTCTCTCTCTCTCTCTCTCTCTCTCTCTCCCCCCCTCTCTCTCTCTCTTCCATTCTTTCAAACACTGTCACTCTCGAGGTCAAAGGTCGGCCGCTCTATTATCGATGAATCGACGGCACGAGACATCGCGGCGGTCGTCGCGGAATTTAATACATTCCTTGTCTGAAAGGGTTACTGTCCCCAGTTGGCCGTTGATCCGCATCGGCCGGTCTTCTGAAGGGGTTCACGTCCACCTGCGCGCCGCCCCTCTGCTGCTCCTGCTGCTCCAGCGCATAATTCCTCTGCTGGCCGTATTCGCCGTGTTGGCCGTAACCGGCCGTAGCCTGATTGTAGAGCGGCGGTTGCTCGTGAGCGACCTGATTGTAGCCGATCGTGTTCGCACTCTGCATCCCGTAGCCAGCAGCTTGATCGTAGTTGGGTTGCGTCGCTTGGTAGTTTCGATCGACATAGCTTTGGTCGACATTAGTCTCCATGCGTGTCTGATTCAAATGGTTGCCAATTTCGCCGGTGATCGGCCGCTGCTCCTGAAGAACGTACGTCTGGTACTCCTTGTCGGGCGGATCCTGCATCAGTACGTTCGCCTCGTCCTGGAACGGCTTGAAGTCGTAGATATGCCTGAGATAGTAAAGCACCGGGGCGTAGAGCAAGTTGGAAAATGCGATGCCGACGTTGAGGGCGGTGAAGCCGATCGCCTCGACGACGCCACCGGCTATGATCGGGCCTACCGCGTATGCCAAGCTATACGATATATCGGCGATCGCATAGATGCTACCGTAGACCGACACGTATCTCACGTCCACCAGGTAGCCGAGGGTCGGCAGCAGGGCGGTGTCGATGAGCGCGATGCCGAAGCAGATGCCGCACACCGGGATCATCAGCATCTTGTACGTGCTGCAGAAGGGTACGATGAAACAGCAGAAGCCCTCGAGCGCGAGGCCACAGGCCGCCATCAGCCACTGGTACTGCGGGTACTGCTTGGCCATCTTCACCGTGATCATCACGCCCATCACGTGCGGGAAGAAGGCCGGCAGCCAGACCATACCGATCTTCCAGTTGTCGTGCGTCATCGTGTCCTCCATCCACAGCGAGATGGTCGGCTCGAGGAAAGCCAGCGCGACGTTCGACATCATCAGGGCGCCCGCGCACACGGCGATGTACGGGTCCATGAGCAGCCGCCAGATCGGTATCGTCGACTTTTCCTCCCTGTTCCTGTCGCGCAGCTGCTCCTTTATCGGCTTCATCACCAGCAGCAGCATGAAACCGTCGGCCAGGCTGACGAACGCCAGTATGAGGAACGGCACCTCCTTGCCGGCGAACTGGTAGAGAGCGCCGCCGAACGGCGGTGCCACCAGGCAGCCGAAACTGATGAAGGCCAGCGCGATGCCGAGAGCCTTGGAGCGTTCCGCTTCCTCTGTGAAGCGATCGGCGATCATGGCGAGGCCGGCGGTGTCGGCGAACGCGGAGCCGACGCCTTGGAGGCTCCTGGCGAAGAAGAGCACGCCGTAGCTCTTGCCGCACGCGAACACGCTGGTCGACAGGAACATTATGCACAGCCCGATCATCATGGGGATGTCGTAGCCGATCTTGTCGATGAGCGCACCGGAAAACGGGTTCACCATTAGCTGCACGATCGCCTTCGACGCGAACAGCACCCCTGTGGCGGAATCCTGGCCATGATGAGCGGGCGGTCCGGTTGTGTTCTCCGTGTTCTCCTCTACGGGCCCGAACGCACCGACGTACTGCAGATAGTCGGGTATGATCGGTACGATCACCATGTACAGCATATTGTCCAGCAACAGCGCCACCGACACGATCACCAGGATCAGCTTGCGCTGCGCCTTTGGCTCCTGAAGCTTCGTCCAGACGATCTCTTTGAGCTCGCCGAACTCCATGTTGAGTATCGGTATCGTCGTCATGGCGGCTCGAGACTCTAGCTAGCTGCTCTAGTCTCGCTCGCGAGACCGATCTCGCTCCCGGTCGCTTCCCGGTTTCCCTGTTTGTCTAGAGGGAGCAACTAACCGCGGTCACCTCGTTGCGACCTCGGCAAGCGAGCGTGACCAAGCGCGATCGTCGCGATTGGGGCGGCGCGCATCAGGCCGGGCCGGGGGTAACCTACAACAGATCACCGAGTTGGCACGATTAGCTCGCGGAATAATGAAATACGCGCGCGCGCGCGCGCGCGCCCGCGCGCCCGCGCCCGCACCCGCACCCGCACCCGCACCCGCACCCGCACCCGCGCCAGCGCCACGCGCCACGCGCACCTTCTCCACGCTGATCGACGGTCAACCGCGACGGATACCCGAGAAAACAGCGACTGGAGAAGCGAAGAACGAGACTCGAGGAAAGCTATTCAAGGGAAGAAACAAGGGGAGCCCTGACCCGGCCTGGTCAGCGCGAATAGACACCCAACCCCGATCGCGAAATACGTTTCAGCTGCGGGTTCTACCTTGCGAGAAAGTGCGCTTTCATTCTCGCTCTTGCCCTTTTCTTCTCTCTCTCTCTCTCTCTCTCTCTTTCTCTCTCTCTCCTCTCTCTCTCTCTCTCTCTCTCTCTCTCTCTCTCTCTCTCTCTCTCTCTCTCTCTCTCTCTCTCTCTCTCTCTCTCTCTCTCTCTCTCTCTCTCTCTCTCTCTCTCTCTCTCCCTCTCTCTCTCTCTCCTCTCTCCCTCTCTCCCTCTCTCCCTCTCTCCCTCTCTCTCTCTCTCTCTCTCTCTCTCTCTCTCTCTCTCTCTCTCTCTCTCTCTCTCTCTCTCTGTTTCTCTCTCTCTCCCCTCATCTCTCCTTCCGCAAGTCAAAGAGAACACGACACCGGTTGGGGGCTCCCCCTCGATAAGGCGTCGCGAAATCGACTCTACATCTTAGCTCGGTATATCGTGTATAGTATTACAGCCGTATAAAAACAGCACGGAAAAATGCTGAGAAAACAAGGGGCGCGGTTCGAAGCGCGTGCGAAATATTGTTAGTGTTCTCGCTGCTAATCACTTTATGAGTGTAAGTGATACAAAAGTGTTGCGGAACCATCATCAGTGATATTGGCGTCCGAGTTGTTTGCCAAGTGTGTGTCGATTATTGGGACAACTATAACGATAATCAATATAATCAACAGTGTCGCTTGTTGTTGGGGACAAAAGACTGTTATTAATAATTGTTTTCTATCACCGACTTGTACACGCGAGTATATATTGAAACAAGGTCAAGTACCTCACGTAATTAATCACTGTAAAACGGTGAAACAGTGCGTATCTCTCTCTCTCTCTCTCTCTCTCTCTCTCTCTCGCGAGCGCGACTCTGTGGAAAAAGTTGCCGAGTGCAATTTTTCCGACAATCTGTCGATTCTACGTCGAATCTGGCATTGAAAAATCTGTCTAGTTTCGCTTACTTCCCTCTAGAAACGAAACCTTCGTTCATCTGCCCATCGGACAACTTCATCTCAAATCATCGTTTATTTAGTTTATCGATATTATTTCAATCGCCACATACTTTTATATAGAGGCAGATCAAATGCAACTTGGTTGCAACCAAGTTTGCCTTGACGTCAACCTCGTCTAATCTAGTGTAAATCACTATCGAAATTCAGACGACATTCGAAACGACGACAATCGTTGTGCTGAATGTTAGAAAAACTCTTCTCGCGTTTGCAAAGTCGTGGTTCTCTCGCTAACGATGCGACGCACGCGATCGGTACACGCGGGTGATATACCGACTACGTCGCGAAAGACGTCAACGAGACTCTTTCGAGCATTCAACGACTCACCCGAGTTACTGGCAAACTTTTGCCTGAGAGAATTGGCGAGGCGTTGGGGGCCCGCCAAGGTCGGAAGACCGGCTAGCAGGCCGCTCAGAGTCGAAGCGACGTCCGATCCGTCTTCGTCCTTCGAGTCGTTGACCGACTCCTTGGTTCCTCGCGTCCCCGGGCCCTCCACCTTTTCAGCTGAATTCACAACCGCGTGAATCTGCAACAGCGTGATATTTCCCAATCGGTTAAAGTCAAACGCGGACACTCGGCAACAATAACGATCGATTCGCTTCCATCCCTCTTGGGACTGAAGAGGGACGGAATGAGTTCGCCGCAGAAACATTGCGCGCGCGCGCGCGTGCGTGCGTGCGCAAACCGACGGAATTCCGCAAGCCGCATATTTGCAAATTATAATAAACCCGACCTGTTCGAAGCAAGCGTTATCTTTCGACCTTCGACCCCGACCCCGACTCCGACCCCTTCGACCCTCTCAATGCTCGAATCGATTCTCTTCGATTTCGGTATCAAGCGCTAACGATGGATGGGTCCGATGAAAATGATAATGATGATGACGCAATCGATTGCAATAGATCATCATCTGTGTATCTTGTGCAATTAATATCGCAACGTACAAACTAACACGAGCGAAGGCGTTAAGTAAGTACAACAACAGCACAAAATTTGTTCCTTGCGTAGAGAATGTTCCGAGATTGTGCACATTATCCACGGGAGGATGGGGAAGGGTACGTTGACCTTCGAGTTGAAATTTATCATTATATTTTTAACCTGCGCAATTGTGCGCGCGCGCGCGCACGCACCACTAAGAGTAAGGGTGCACTGTGCAACGTTTGTACTCTACATATTCACGTCTTCTCGTACGGTCGACACAATTTTTACCAACATTTCTATTATCTTATGTACGCGCGTTACCAATGGGCGCAAGTTAAATATAGCGTTTCTGTGTCTATCTATAACATTCGAGTGCTGTACTATATGCATTTGAAGAAGACCGGGCATTACACACGTGCGTAACTTCCCAAGGTAATTTTTACCCTCTCGCTTCATCGCGATATAGTTATTTGACAGCCACGTGTTATTTTGTGCTCCATTGTTTGCAGGAAGGGTAGCGATATCCCTTGTTATTTCACCTCCCCCCCCTTCCTCCCTTCCTCTCCTTCATCGCTCTCCTAATCACAAATTTCAACTGAAGAATTCTCTCAGCTCTTGCTCGGGACATTGCTGGGGATTACGTGACTTTTTTCCGAGTTGACACAGAGACCGATTGTTCCGATTCTTAATCTCGTCAGAGAGAGAGAGAGAGAGAGAGAGAGAGAGAGAGAGAGAGAGAGAGAGAGAGAGAGAGAGAGAGAGAGAGAGAGAGAGAGAGAGAGAGAGAGAGACAGAGAGAGAGAGAGAGAGAGAGAGAAGGAAACTTGGCAGTCACCATACAAGTTTTGTAGGAGCATGGTGATGTAATCATTCCTCTCGACGAACAAATGTTGCTGTGTTCAGTGAGACCAGATGAAGCTTACAACGAATCGAAACGCGAATGTAAATGTGACATGTAAAAACGTATGTACCACCAATGGCTCGATCTACCCTTTTCTCGGATTCGCCGCTTCGAACCAAAGCGAGTCGGGAAGAGAAGAAGCGCGAAGATAAATTGTTCAGGACTTTCGTAAAATTTCGTGTCGCTGCGTGGCGTGAAATGCACTGAAATTATAACAAGCACATCTTGATAGTGCTCCTATTATGCAGTCTCTTTATAAATGAGAAATTGCTAAGGGAGCAGTTGTGCACGCGGCGCTACGAGAAGTAGTAACGACGCAACGATTACCACCACCATTCCGATCGATCCTTTTCGAGCTCGTCGACTTTCAGCTTGTCTCAAAGAAGACAACACTTTGAGAGTTGTTGTTGTTGAGTGCAACGAATGCAAAGCCAAAAGAAAGAGGAAACATTGGGAGAAACACACTCCGATTCGAGCGTGATCACAGCGAAAAATATCCATTCTTGTGAAACGAGTTGGTGAGTGCAGAGATTGAGAGTCCTCGCGTAAAAGTTGATCGTGCGAATGCGCGCACGCACACCCCATTCGTGCCTGGGCGCGCGAAGAGAAGACGGCGTCGACAGCGCCAGACAAGCGAGAGGAAAATGTACGAGTACGACGGAACAGGGGACAGGGAACGTGGAACAAGATCGGCCAGGATACTTACTAAGAACGAAGGGCTCCCAATGGCTGGGGCGTCTCGCGGCGTGTCTCTCCGTCGGGGTGGCTTTGGAACGTCTGCCCTCAGAGTCCTCCCCGCCACCGAGTCGTACGGCGCCCTCTCTTGTCGTTGTGGTGGCGGCGGCGGCGGCGGCGGCGGCGGCGGCGACGGCGGCGGCGGCGGCGGTGGCGGTGGCGGCGGTGGCGGCGATGGCGGCGATGGCGGCGGCGGCGGTGGCAGCGGTGGCAGCGGCGGTGGTGGTGGCAGCGGCGGCAGCGGCGGCGGCGGCGGCGACGGCGGCGGCAAACGGCGGCGGCGGCAACGGCGGCAACGGCGGCGGCAGCAGCGGCAGCGGCGGCGGCGGCGGCGGCGGCGGCGGCGGCGGCAGCGTCGGTGGTGGCGATCGCCGGTTCCCCGTGCGGAGGGTGCGGAAGGGCGCAGCCGCAGCCACCAGGATCCAGGGATTGGCGGCAGCGAGACCGTGCGTCAGCCCCCAAACCCTCCACCATCGAGTGTGCACGGCACCCTCCGCGTCCTCCGGACGACGGGGGCGCTGGGTGAGGGAGACGAAGAGGTACGGAAGAAGGCGAGACCAGGTATAACGGCGACGGTCGATGCTGCGCGGTATTTCTGGCGTCAGGTCGATACGGCCTCACCTGTGTGAGGTGACTGTGGTGGGCTCTCCCTGCCGCCCTCACCGAGAACCCCAAAGGGGTTCTCGAACGTGTTAGCGCTGACCGGCAGTGCTCTTCAACTGGCGGATCGCCAGTTCCACCCGAGAGTCTCTTCGCCACCATCACCTGGTCTCGCGTTAAAGGTTGCGTGGGGTGCGATTGCGAAACCCTGTTTCGAGGCGCCGGCTCGGAGTCGTGAGCACCTTTGCTTTACCAGGAGACATTGCCATCGCGCTGCGTTCCTTCCATCTTGCTTCGTTGGACTCGAGGGACTCGACGATAATTGTTGATCATTGGCATTTGATGACGACACGTGCATTGACACGTGCCGTCACAGTTATCGAGTATACTACGAGTAGTAGCAAAAGTAGGATAGAGCAGACAACTTGCGCGCAGGTAGCTCCATATCGGTTCAAAGTTACATTCTCATTCCTTCCCTCTCGGTCGTGTTGATCGAGAGGACACGATCGCGTCAATAGCAGCCGCTGCGAGTTCGCTTGCGCACAAGCGCAATTCGGAGTTGATAACGTACCATGAGTGACTTGCCAGAGGTCAAAAGTCATTTGACCGAGGTTGCGCGACAGGGGTTGGTCGTGCGTCTGTCAGTTGTTTGACCGTCATTTTCGATAATCGCATAAGTAAGATCAAAGGTCTCTCCCACTTTCTTTAACATCGCAATCAGAGATTTCATTATGTAGAGAGTTTATTATGTGAGACTGACTTGACTTTTGCTATTCTCGTGTGTAAAATTGTCTTTATCTGTTAGCCTCTGTCTTTATCTGTTTCCTCGCGATGTACGAAATCTCTCTCTCTCTCTCTCTTTGCCATTGGTGGCAGACGTGACGTACAGTATTTAACGTGGGACGACGTGAGAATATTTTTATAGATAGATGTGATAAACCGTCTATATCGGATGAAATATTGTGATTGTGGAAATTCACCCTAGACAGCAGTTAATGCCGCGAGATACTGAACCTTTACCCTTAGCCCTTCGTGTCGCCAGTCGCACGCGTCATCGCCCGTTAAACGATCCAATGCCAAATTAAGGCTGTTTCTGACGTCGAGCCGGGACGTTGCTTCATTCGACGACATTTCTTTCCAGTTATGTCGTGCGTTTCTGAGACTCTTATTTACGATAAGCGACAAGCGAATTAATAAGTAAAGAAGCGTGCCTTCTTTTCTTTTCTACGTCTCGAGATGTGTGTCGGCATCAATCTGCATCAATCTACAGTTTTAGACGTTTCATACTACGTTTTATAATGAACAAGATTGAACGAACATGAGATTGTTGAATCATCTCTCTACGTCTCAGTCGAAACGAATGCTATTTTCAGATTCCAAAATTTACAAGAAAGATTGCGACATTACTCTGCAGAGAATGCAAAGGTTGCTTGGATACAAGCATGCAAGGGGTGAAATCTCAGAGAGAAGAGAAATCAATCGAGCCGCAGAGCCACAGAGTATTGATTTCCTTTTATCCTCTCTTTTCGTTCTGTCCTCCGCGGCTCTGTTGTATCGTGTTTGATTTTGGTATTTCTCGCACCGCAGAACAACAACAACAACAACAACAGCAACAACTCACCATGCTCGCGTATTTCTGTTCTCGGCGAGCGAAAATACTCGTTGATATCGATCTGCGGTTGACCCAGCTGTTGACCCAGCAAGGGTAACGTTAACAGAGAATTCGTGCATTCGTACCTCCGTCAAGCGACGGCGACGGCGACGGCGCCGTCGCCGTCGCAGAGAGGATCCAAGCTACTCGCGTTACCTGCGGCTGTGATCGTACGGACCTGTCACGTTTTCCCATTATTGTCGACTTTTGCACGAGCGCGGCTTCCATTCTGGCGGCTGGCATTCTTGATGCTGAAATCGAAACGATCTCCGGCTGATCACCGTCCTATTAACGTTCTTCGAGAGAGCGTGAAGGGGACGCCAACGTGGGTTTATCCGACAGCTCGACTTTTCCGAATCGGAACACGGCTTGGGTGGGATCGGCGCTCACGACTCTACACGAGCTTCTGTGCAACCGTGAGAACGGCAGCAGCAGGATGCAGCGTACGTGTCGCATCAGATGAGACAGGTAGAATCGAGCATCTAGCGTTGTCCCTTTTGTTCTCGCGAGCGCTCTTTGTCGTCTCGGTTTCGTTGATTAATCTCCGATTTCGTCTCGAGACCGTAAAACACCACTTCGCGAGTGTCGCGAGTTTCGCGATACTTTTCTGCAAATACTCGCGGGGGCTTCGATAGCCGATAGAGGTGGTAAACGTACGTACACACACACGTAGCTTACGTAAGCGCGCGCGACTTACGAGTCACGACAGTTCGCAAAGTTGCGCAGGTACGCCGAGTAATTTAGGTGGTAGGGCTAGTAGCAGAGACGAAGGAATACAAATGGCTCGGGAGAGTGTGAGACACGGCAGCACGTGACGACGCTACTTGCGCTTATTGAGAACAGGAATGTAGAAACATTGAAATACAAAAGAAATTGGAGTGTGTGAAATTAGACAGAAAAATATAATGAGATGCTATACAAGTATAGAAATACGCATACGTGTGTTCACATGTACAAACATGTGTGTTACATACATATATACAGGAGGGAAAAACAAGAAAAAATGTAGAGATGAGAGAGAGAGAGAGAGAGAGAGAGAGAGAGAGAGAGAGAGACGGATGACGGATCTCTCGCGTCACGTGTCGAGCAAAGACTACAACGAGAGACGTGTTCATCTGCAATGACGAAAATGCGTACGCATGTAGGAACGTGCGTGTACACCAGGTCGCCAGGTTGAAGCAGCTCGACGGAACAGTCGGTCGGTGAAAGAGAGAAGAGCGCGTGGCGGAAGGTGGAATGCCCGATGAGGAAGACTGCGGCGACTGGAATATCAAGCGAACGATCCGTGTAATTCGGTTTCGTACGATCGAGTTCACCGACTAACGCGCTGTCGGCTCAGCTAGGGCGGCCAAGCGCCAAATCTCTCGCGAAATCTCGTTAGAGACAAAAGAGTCGCGGGAAATAAAATCTTGTCGGATTTCAACAACTTCGCGCCGGGTATTGTGTAAGAGAGCGCCAGTGTCTCTCTCTCTCTCTCTCTCTCTCTCTCTCCCCCCCCTCTCTCTCTCTCTCCCTCTCCCCCTTTCCCCCTCCCCCTCCCTCTCTCTGCGTGTTCTCTGAGAATTTATAACGATCTCGCGTTGCATCGTGTCGCGAGAGGGATACCGCGCCGCGCGCGTTAAGATATTGCGAATGAAAACGCAAGTTTTCGGGACAAATTTTCTAATTTACGCAAACATTTCTTCCTCCGCCAACGTCGCAGTCCGGCCGGACGCCGACGTTGGCGCCTTCCTGCTCGTCCAGAGGTTGAGGTCCAACGACAATCGCGAGCTAGCAGCAGCGCGAGCAGCTGCATGTGAGAGAGAGAGGACGCTTACTTGGGAACCAGGTGAGGCAAGATTCGCGCAAGAGACGGACAAGTCAGAGATGGGCGCAACACAAAAGAATATAAATCGCGCAATAGACCGCGCCGAGAGTGCTCGTCTCCGTCACGTTCTCTCTGCGAATCGGGCGATTCAACATGGAGCGCGCACTCGAGCTCTTCTTCTTCGAGTTTTCTCTCGATAGCCCGTCGTTTGGCCCGTCTCAAGGAATACCAGCCTCTTGCTCTATCGAGCTCATTAAAAGAATAGCGGACGGTCCCCTCATTGCGCTGCCAGCCGCGCCAGCCGCGAGGGGGCAGGGAGAAGAAGTTGTGTACCAGCAGCCACCGCGAAGGGTAGGCCATCGCACGCCACGGACGAAACGAGTCTCTCTGTTTGATCCGCAAACATTGTAATTGCCTGGAATATTATATTAGGTACGCCGTTGCGGATGACGACGGAGGTGGTGGATGCACCGTCGCGCGTCGTCGTGGGCGGCCGGCGGCGACGGGTATAGTCCCGATGAGGGCTGTACGAGGGGTGAACAAAGGGAGACGATGGGAAGGGCGACCGGACCGACGGCACCCCGGAGCAGAAACAAGAGCGAAACCCCGGAACAATAATTTATTTTTGGTCTCCTCGTGGGTGGGTGGGAAACACGCTGGCTGTGGCAGGTACGTATTAACTCCCCGCTGCCGTTTCAACGACAGAAAAATTCAGACGCGAAACGATCTTCCCCGAACGAACGCGACACGATTCTCTCGTTCCAATTTCATATTATCGCGAAATTATTTATTCAACAATTGTTTGTGCCCTTCTTCTTCGCTTCGAGAGGATGGAAAGCGGGAGAACGAGAGAGAACAAGAGAGGAATAATCGGAGAGAGAGAGAGAGAGAGAGAGAGAGAGAGAGAGAGAGGGAGGGAGAGAGAGAGAGAGGGAGAGAGAGAGAGGGAGAGAGAGAGAGAGAGAGAGAGAGAGAGAGAGAGAGAGAGAGAGAGAAAAGGACTATTTGTTTGTTCGCCCCCGAATTGAAATCTCCGGCGATCGACCACCCTCTTATTCCTCCGTTGCGTCATTTCCATGTTCGTCGCGTTATTTCAATGTGCACGTTTCACGACGTTTATCACAATTGCTGCTTATCGCAGGCGAGATTATCTCTCTTGTCTCTCCTTGCTGCTTCGAGACTTTTCGTGCAAGGATGATCCAGGCACCTGATTTTACCTTTCGTTCCTCAGATTCGCGAGACGCAAACGAAACCAAGATAATGTGTGAATGTATTGCTGATAAGCAAATCGCCGGTGGGCAGTGTCTTGCAAACATCGACATGAGACTTGAAACTCTCACTCACTGCAGGCAAAATCGATGCAGGGGAAATGCGATTGTCGACGCAATTACGTCGTTCTCTGCTCCGCCCGGCGCCAAAGTAGAAAATGCAGCGCGTTGCATCGCGCGCTCGTCCTCCAGGCGGAATCATAATCACTGTCCGCGTAGCGCGTAAATGGTGTTTACGTAAGTGCGTTTGTCAGCACCGTGTAAACATCTGCTTCTCATGCAAACAAGCGATTCACTCGACGTACGAAGGTACGAACGAGACGTCAACCGCCGCGCCGGGCCGGGGAAAGTGAGACGTAGAAGCGCGTGACGTCAAGGTATCGGTTCCCACCGGTGTGTAAGACTTTGAGGATTCTCCAAATGGATAAGCGTGTGAGAATAAATTGCGCGAGCTGTGAAAACATTCGTCTTGAAATGCCCACCCCCCCCCTCTTCCGCTAACCCCGGCGATTTTGACATTTTTTTGACAGAAACAAACGTAAACGCAAACCATGCGTGTGTGTAAAAATAATTGTTGGTTCCATTAAACAATCGTTCAATCGTTCATTCTATCCACCAGACGATTCCTTGTTGTTGCCTGCGTCTTATCGATTGCTCGCAATCTCACGTTTATTCGCTCGTTTTACAACACTTTACACGTCGTAGCTGTAATCCAAGTGTCCAAGTCGTCCAAGATACGAGCGTCGTAGTCGCCGAAGACAGCCGGTGCATAGTTGATGGTCGAGATATAAGTCGTAGAGTACGCGCGATGTAAATCGAAGTGACCATGGCCTGCGCGCAATCGATTAGCTCTGGCCTTAAAACAAGGTAACATTTCGCGCTTAAGAATAACGCGATCCCGTTTCGTCGATCGATCTGTTTCTCGACACACACACACACACACACACACACACACACACAGAAATGTGTATAAAGAGAATGTAAGAGAGACATATGCGAATAGATAAGAATAAAGTTTTAAAATGTGCTTGCACAGGTAATCTTCGCGATGCCTCAGAAACGACTCGACTCGAGAGACGACAAACTCGGGAAAAAGATGTCGGTCGCCACGATGTTGAAGAACTGCTGTTGCGATACGATGACAAAGTCCAATGATTTAGCACGAGTTGAATCGAACAATCTGCAGTCTACAGTCAAAGTAGGTGGGTCTGATTCAACACACGGACAGGGCAGTGCACGTTGCTTCAGTTGAGATTTCACACCTAATCGTAATCGTGCTCGAAAGGAACTGCTAAAGGCGCGGGTCTCTCCCTTGTATTTCCGGTGTTCCGGTGCCGCCAGTCAATTAAAAAGAAAAAGAAAAGAAATATGATCAGCACAAGTATTACGGTGAGCTCATTGTTGACTCGCGATTAGTTGTAATCACTTGCTATATATATATTTCAACACGACGCGTGTATTTCCTCATTTTCACATTTCGTCTTAATCTCCTCGATAGCTCCTCCCCTTCATTTTTTCTCCCATCTAGTGCGCGAAGCTGAACACGCGTGGTTAATTAAACACCGTGCACTTTATTTGGCCGCACGTAGGAGAAAGCGGCCATCGAAATGAGTCATTAACTTTAATCCCATAGAGACTCGGTTTCCGAGCGTACGTTGCACAAGTATCGTAAACGGAAGATACCACGTATGCGCTGAGACCTAACGTGGAAAATGAGTAGATCATCTGACACGCGGCATATAATTATTGATTATTCGTCGAGATTGTACGTTCTCAAATTTTTCAGGAATTTACATTTTGTATTAAATTTTTCCAGGAATTTTTCCACGGTATCTCTCCTTGCTCTTTATTATTTATAAATTTTATTTTTGAGGAAGAGATTTCACACGCGCGTCTTTATCGCTTTCTTTCACTCTTTCTCTCTCTCTCTCTCTCTCTCTCTCTCTCTCTCTCTCTCTCTCTCAATATTGCAGATGATACGACTTGCACGCGCGCGCGCGTAATCGCTATTCGGATGACTTTTGGCGTTTTTGACCGGGCTACAGATATGGATGGCGCTCATCGCGAGTATTGCTGTAGAAAGTTTGTCGTATTGTAATGTGACGTAGGATCGAGTATGTCGCGAGATTGTTAGTCGGAAGTACTTATAACCTCAGTTGAATGTACGTCCAAGATCTTTTCTAAAAACTGAAAGACTTTTATTATACCTGAGAGATGTATCGTCGAGGATCGTAAAGGTCACCTTGCGTATGCTCGGTGAGAGGCTCCTGATTATGCCGTAAAAAAGAGAGACGACTGTTTTACGTCTTTGGTGAAAAGAACAGTAACGGTGGTTCGAGCAGATTCTTGCGAAATCCGCATACGCGGATGCATCTTGCGAAAGAGAAAATTTGTGAGATGTCCGATTTATGTAATGCTTTTTGTAATCGTCGAATTTCTTTGTTCGACTTGTTCGACTAATTCGTCTTGCTACCACGTGGGTGTATCTTCGCTAGTTGAACTTGGCCCGGAATCTGTGTATCTTGTATCGCTTATATAGCTTTCTTAACAAATATAACGAAAGGTACGACAATTTGACAACGACAACGACGATTTGACCGGAGTCGGCTTAAAAGGTAACATGTTGAGCGATATTGCGTCATGAGCGCAATTGCGAGCGGAGGAGAAACGCAATGTCGCAGTTTCAATTTGAGACGTTGAAACGCATGTAAATCGATGTCACCCTGTGTCAACGCTATTTTCGTGCTCATTTTGTGTACGAGAGACGGATCGTAAATCACCCTCCCATCTCCTTGCGTGACTGCTTTATCGAGTAGAAATTTTGTCCACCAATCTCCTTCCAACATCTATGGACATATTAATCACGTAATACACTCTTCTTCCAGTCTGTAGCGGTTAATGGACAGTTATGTGTACGATACGATAGGCAATTGCTGTGGATTCTGCTGGATAAAGACCATGGAGAGTCGCGATGTCCGACGTATTCTGGATGGAAGTGTGACCCCGAAATCTTTGTGACAAAATTGTCTTGCATATTTCGCGACGGTCTCTCTGCCGGTCATCTTCGAAGATCGAAGAATGATGAAATGAATTTTTCGTTCCGTTTCCAGAGCCGAATGTATCTTCCGTGATCCGATCTTCGCGTGATCCAGCGTGCGCGGGGCTGCATGGGGTCCGGTTGTACGCGGACGTCTCGCGAATGAAGTCTCCCGCGTAACAGCAGAGGCCATGGTGCTAGGTGGTGACGACGCGCGCGCGAGAGCTCGAGTTGACGAGGGCGCGCGCGAGGGTGAGGGAGGTTCAGAGGGATCGATGTGGTGTGGTGTGTTCGGCCATGTGGCCGACACACACACACTATGCACCCCTCTGCGCCCACAGGACGCGGTCTCTGGCCAGCAAACTCGCTTTTCGGAGGTACATCGCGCGTCGTCTTTCCGCACCTGCCCCCGCCCGCGCCGGCTGCACCCACTTTTCCACCGACATTGCCGATATCGCGTGCTCGAAGAGCACGAGAGGTCAGAGGGGAAGGGAGAGGAGGGTGATTTTATTGATCGCGCGTAACCACGCCTTTTCATCCTCGTACGCCACGCCCACGCCCCCGTCTCTCGCGTCTCTTCTCTAGCCGGAATTCGCGCCAAGTGCACCCACCGCTGTCCCGGACTCGGACTCGGACCCGGACCCGGACCCGGACACATCCCCGCGCCGTCGCGAAGCGAAGCGAAGCGGAGCGAAGCGAAGCGGTTATGATATTCACCCCGCGCGCGCGCGCGCGCGCGCCAACTCGGCCGACAGTTACACCGACGATTGACGACGAGCCTCGCACCAACTCGCGCCAACGACGAGTTGGAGGAATTACACCTTTTGACTCACGACGAGTCGATATTATATCCATACCGTCTTCTTCTTGTACAACTTTTCGTCCGCGTTGCACAACTTTTCGATATTTTCAGAGAAATCAATCATCTCAGGCAATCTCTCTCTCTTTCTCTCTTACCGAGGAAAAGGAGGAAGGAGCCTTTCGTCGCGAGCCCCTAGTGAAATGTGCGCGCCCGAGGATCGCAGGTATATCTCTATTCTTAGAAACGCGCAGGGCGAAACAGAGTTAGCAAGCGCATATTTCCCGTCAGTTTCCACGTCAGTGGGTACGCGAGAACGCCGCGTCGTGCGTCGTGGTTATACATGAAAAGTCGCGCGCTATTTATATCGTCATGGAGTGAAACTCGGGCGTCGCGCAAGTTACGCTGTCATACGTAATGCTGTCCCATAGACGGGAATCGGTTATGCGCGCGTCACCCTTTTGTAATTGATGTTACCTGTCTATTTTTATCAGTGTCTAGCCTGTTGTGCCATTTTTTCGCGCGATACGATCTCGTATCGTCTGTGCGACTCGAATCGTCATATTGCCACTTTATCCTCTATCGCTTTTCTCGCAGTCCCTTTCGAAGCTTGGCCCTTTCGAAACTTTGAAAAATGACGTCTCTCTCTCCCCCTCCCTCCCCCCTCCCCTCTCTCTGTCTCTCTCTCTCTCTCTCTCTTTCTCTCTCTCTCTCTCTCTCTCTCTCTCTCTCCCTCCCTCCCTCCCTCCCTCTCCCTCTCCCTCTCTCTCCCGCTCTCCCGCTCTCTCGTTCTCGTATGTGTATATTTTATTAGTTGTAATAATAAAGGTTAACCGTTGCATGGTACTTGTGACGTCTAAAGTGACGATTAATTCATCCGGACGGAATCATTAATCACGAATGAAAATGATTCTTTTCATGCAATATGCTGCCAAATAATGTCAAGACTTGTCACTCTTTCGACAATGCCATTCCGCGGAGGTTTGCGTCAACCGACGGTCACAACTCGCGCGTTATAACGCGCGTTATAACGCGCGTTCGTCATCTTCTATCGATTACAACGTTTCAAATATTAATACGTAAACAAACCATTTTTCTCTATGCCGTGCTGCCGGCTAACTCGATGCAACGTCGGGGATAAATAATCGACGGTGCGGGGGTTGCTGATCATTCGATTGACGAGTGTGTGTGTGTGTGTGTGTGTGTTACCGTGCTGAAAAACAAACGGAAATGTCGCTGTGCATTTTGATATGAGCGCTTTGTATCCTTCAGAGAAAGGAAGAAACTGTTGCCTTTGCGTTTTCCAGAAAGAAACTGTTGCATCGGCATTTCCTCGGTCCCTGCCATCGTTCCTCTCACGGTCCTCTTTGTGTGTTTGTGATCAATTATCGTGTGCTTTCACTGATCGATCTTCGGGTATCGACGTCTTTACCGGAGAAAGTAACACAGATCTTGCGATTGGTAGATAGTCGGCTCCTGGCATAATGGTTTCTTTCTAGCCTGGACAAACTCGGCACGGAAGGATGCGAAAGACGACAGGGGATAGCAGAAATATAAAGGTATTCGATCTATTTTGTCCGCTACGTTCTGTTGTTTTACATCGTGTCCAAAAACTCGTAACGTAAAATATCTGCGCTCTCTGTATCATAGAAGCTTTTGCGATTGCTTTTGCGCTGTCTGCTGCAAAATACATGATATATATATATGTATTATTTGGATCGTTTCTATTTAAATTGCTCAATGCGATATTTTCATCATCGATGTATCGCAGGCACGATCAAAAGTAGCGCGATCAAGAGATCCCTAGACCTAGACAAGACGCTTCTCCAGCATGCCATTGACGAAAGTCAGCTTTCCAACGTAATACCACGAATCCGCGAGATCCTTTTAGCTTATATGAGATTTGGAAGGTATAAATGTGAAATCCCGGTTTAGAGGCGGGGAAATTCGCGCCTGTTAGCAGACTTGGCTGCGCGATATCGTATACCATAATCCACGCTCGGACAAATTGTCTGCTCGCCCTTACTTTTTACGCGTGTGAAAATATTAATTAAAATATTAGTTTAGCGCAAGATATCTTCACTGTTGCATGTTCACGCATGTTAACTTTTCCGCAAGGTGAGTTACGGAAGTTGGCTTTCAATCTCTAGACCTTTTCGGTCGAAATCGCCTCGCCTTCGAGCTTCGCTTCTCGACCTCTGCCTTTGGCAATCCTATGCGCGGACGTGCTTTTGTATTACTTACGTTAGCGAAAGAAAGTAACTAACATTTGCTCGCAAGACGCCTTGCGCGAGTGAAAGCACAAGTCCGTTCGTTCGTCACGAGTTTTACGGCTGTATCTGCGCGTTAAGCCCGACGTTTTCGCGTGTATTATTACGTCGCGTATTGTGCCGGGCCGCGTTTATCCTTTTCCTCTCTCTCTCTCTCTCTCTCTCTCTCTCTCTCTCTCTCTCTCTCTCTCTCTCTCTCTCTCGTTTTCTTTTCTATACACAGCATACATGGCATCTTGCGGCCAAGCACGCAAATTTTCCGACAGCTGAATTTTTCAATTCTCTGCCTCTTGTAAATGTTGTAAATGTTGTAAATGTTGTTTTTCTTTGTACGTTTATTACGTTTGTCTAGACACGATATTCTAGTGAGGAATAACGCGCTTCAAACGTCGCGCGTTGATTTCTTCATGAGAAACGACTTGGTTATTACGATATGTAAGAGTAAAAAAGATGTTATAACCGTTTCGAAACGAAGTAATTGCACGAAAAGAACTGATTGCACAATCGATATTCTCAAGAAGCTTTGGGAATTCTCTACAGTACAGTAAATTGTTTGCTCGATTCTCCTGTTGTAGCTTGCTCGTGACTATTCAATTATTTGAGAATCAGCACGTGTGCGTGCGTATCTGGAACGTGACAGCGAGGTGCACCAGTTGAAGAAGATGCAGCGACGATGTTCGAGGGAAATTTCCTTTCTCCTGCGCTCTCGCGTATACTATACACGAAGCGTGCCGCGGAATATCGACTTGGATTCCGCGATGCTCGTTAACGGTAACAACGATTATAACAGGCGAGTGCAACCGTAGGAACCGTAGGAACCGTAGGAACCGTAGGAACGACCTTTCGCATTTACAATCGAGTGACAAAGTAAAGTAGTAGTAGTAGTAGTAGCAGTAGTAGTAGTAGTAGTAGTTAGTAGTCGAGTAGTAATTGGCTGTTTTTCCATTACCAATTAATTGGTGGTTTTGGAAACGTTTCACGTAGGACATTCCTACTTTTTCTTTCATAAGACGAAGCATAGAAATCCAACCTGCGAATTCCAGCGAACATTTCAACAAATTTGATTCCCCGACTCGCACGTGCGATCTCATGCGTCGCGAGATCTCATCGATTCGCCGCGTCTCTCTCCGACAAGCTTTCTGTCAGTTAGGACACGAGGAGAACGCCGCATTCGCACGCCGCACAATCTCATCCGCAGCGATTACGCAGACCGCGTAGACGCAGACGTGCGACGGACGTGGTAACCGTGAAATCTCGTAGCGGTCGTAGCGGACAATCGTAATTACGACTTTTCTCTCCTGCGTGACAATATCGCAATGTCACCGACGTGACCAACGACCACGCGTGACGAGCGATTGCCTTCGCAGCGAGTTTGCTAGTACATGCGCTTCCGATATTAGCGCGATCTAGAGGCTATCCTTGCTTGTCAAACTGGAGTTGCATCGGGACTTTTCTAGACACAGCGACTTTGTCGCATCGTAATCAAGCGGCGACATATATATATATATATATATATATATATATATCCGACCATCTTTTCTCGCTAAACTGTCGTCATAGAAGAAAGAGAAAAAGGTGGAGCGCGCGTCCTCCGCGCTCGCTTCATCGGATCGCGATGAATACCGCTCCTGTCCGCGATCGACGCGACATGGTCGCGTATCGCGGACAGGAGACGTCGGTCAATTGCGAAGCTGCGATGCGTTGCCGATGAGGTAAGCCGATTGAGGTGTTCCATGCGGATCAACTACGTTTCGAATAAGACTAGGAGAGAGTCCGCGAAGCGGGAAGCGGGTGTAGAGGAAGGTCGACGTACATCGAGCTATTTCGAGTCGCTTCGCTCATCCGGCTGAATAAATGATAGATTCGTTCCAGCGACGGCTACGTCGCTATTATGACCGAGGGAGGCTGACCTTTCGCATTAATTGCTCGCGACGAGGCCTTGTCGTGCCGCAACCGTCAAACCGTTGCGAAATCGTACTCAAAGAACTAGCTTTGAGCACTCGAGCTGACAGGAGAAGGAGCGCGCGCTGTGAGAAAGAAACTTGCGGATGCGCGGGAGAATTCAAATTACGAACGTGTTTTCGTAAGCTCGACGATGTAAAGCTGTGGCTGTGAGCACGAGCACAGCTACTTTAGCAGTGTGTGTGTTTTACGCACACTTATATACGCTCGTAGCTAGCAATACGCTACCGTATATGCGAGAGCGAGGGCGTGAAATACTTCAGAGATGTTTGAATATAACTTATTAGCTCATGTACGACGGTACAAGACGGCGCAAGAGCGCGAGGGCGTGCGAGAGGTTCTCTCTATTACGGTTCCTCGCGGATTGTTGACTCTGAACGGGGGGAAAGGGGGGAAGGGGGGGTCCTTGAACCTCTCGAGGCTCTCTTCTCTCGCGTTCTTGCGTCCTCGGACAGTTACAGTCGCGAACGAGGTTACTCTACCGAGTAAAAGGTGGCCTTGATCAATTTCGGACACAACGATCCTTCGAAGCAATCTTTCACGTTCTGTTCGTTCTGTAAGCGTTCATACGCTTACGATGCACTGCTCCCTCCTGCCCTCCTGCGAGAGGATCTCTCGCTCGTAACGAAGCTCGCTCGAGACGCTTAAGAATTGCACATCGCAGCAATGATTCCGATGTAACGGATGTAATGAATATGGGCTATGGATAGACTATGGATAACCGCGAAGGTCTCTGGATGAACGATCGCCATTTGTCACTCGGTGCTTCAACTGCGGCGCAAGGCCGCAAGGATAAAGCCATCAATACGTGTACGAAAACGACGTATTATTCGTATACGCAAAGACGTACATTACATACGCGAAACGTGCACACGGACATACGGGGGGTATGACTTTCCCTTTCGACAACAAAGGAACTTGGATGAAACGTGAACGCTTTTTTATCGTTCCGATGTTAGGCTCTAGCAACAAGCGTCTGCATGGTCGCATGTACATGTAATATATGTACAGTGTCAAACATTATGGCGCGGCGCACTCACGGAAAACATCGAGCGCGCACAAAGCGCGCGCGCAGAGATATTGTCCAACACTTTTATAGCTTTTAGTCGAGATAATTGAATAATAATTACAGTGATTCGAATCGCGGAAGATGCTCGCCTCTACTAAATGCTGCTTTCTACGTGCTACTTCCTCAAGAGTAAAAATATTGCGCCACCGCGAAGCGTACTTTGTTCATCGGGGATTGCGTTTTAATTACGCACGTTATTATTACGCACGTATGAATCATTATTACACGTGTATATATACACGCACGTAGAGCTCGCTTGGAGAAAAATTTCTTCCCCCTCGACTCGCTCGTCGAAGAGCTTCAATTATGCAAATAGAACACGGGAGAGCGGAGAGCGTATTCTCTCGTGCTTTCTTATAGTTTTCGTCATGTATAATACAACACACAGCAGATTCCGGAAGTTGTTGGAAGTCGACCGAGTCGGAGGGTCCAGTCGATCGGTACACACCGCAGGTGCCTTGCCGTGCCGTGCCGTGCCGTGCCGATTCGTCATTGCGAAATGACTCGGTCGGCTCGGTTGTCATCGACGCGACGATAGCGATGGACGAGACAATTGCTCTCATCGCCGCCGCCGCCGCCGTCGCCACGTAACAACCCACCCGATGATCCCTTTGATCAATTAGATGGCTCGACGGCGAGAAATGAGGTAACCGCGCCGCAGCGCACGCGAGACGAATGCGCCGTCGCGGTGCGCTGCAGCGGGCGCTGACGAGAAAATGACGGTTACTCGACCACGGATATTAATTATCTAGGGCAGAGATGCGCTCACAATGCGCTCGACGATCGAGGCCCGCCGGCGTGACTTTCGCTTTTCCTACTATACTCGTCCGTGTCTATCAGCGGCCGCGCGCGCGCGATTGTTGCATTCGCTCGGTTGCGAGGCATGCCTAAACACTGGAAAAACTGCGCACCGCCGCTGGAAAGACGACGCTTTCCTCTTGCGAGAGCGAGAGACACACTTGCGAAACACTTGTGCTAACAAGGAAGCGCTCGCGCTTGCCCGCTCGATTATGCCGAAAGATGCATTTGCGTCTCCCGACGCATTCCTTCGTACTTTTGTCACTAGAGGCGAGCAACATGACGCCACACGCGCCACTCGTCGCGCGATTCGCCGCGACCCACTTTCTTTCCGAGCTCTCGACACACTCGAGAAAATTCGAGTCCCAACGAGTCGTTTTTTCTAACGTCGAGTCTAGTCTAGGTGGAGATTTTCACGTCGTCGCTCGAACAGAGATCACAGGAGTCATCCGCAGACCGCAGGAGACATCTCGCACGTCGACGTCGACGTCGACGTCGAGACGAGTCTTAAATTTATCGGTGTTTGGTCGTTTGGACTTGCAGAGAGTCAGGAAAGATTTCGCTGTCGTTCAAACGCAAGTGATAGGTCCTCGGCGAAGGATTTGACTCACCGTTCGACCGCGCGTGACCGCGCAAAGCCACGCGACGTGGCTTTCATTTCTCTCTCTCTCTCTCTCTCTCTCTCTCTCTCACTCTCTTCCTCCCATTTTCATTTTTTCTTTCCGACGCGAAAACATCGGCACTTTCCTCGAACGCATCGAATAGCCGTTCTATAATTTCGCGTAGCCGTAAAAACTGCTCGCCGCCGAGTCCGAATGCAAATTGCAGACCGTGCCGGATAAAAGCGCGCGCCTTCGTGCGGGATCGTCGCTCGACGCGGACGCGGACGCGAACGCGAACGCGGACGCGGACGCGGATCTTCCTGCGACCATCCTAACCTCCCCGTCACGATCGATCGGAATTGCGAAGCGCGATCAAGGATAAAGAGATTGCGAAAGAGGAAAGCGCAATTTAGAGTCACGTTCATTTGGACACGCAATTCCACGCTGATAAGCGGCGAAGAGTGTCGGCGCGAAAATGCTCACGCCATCGCAGTACGAAATCTACTCGTATCTACTCGCACCGGTCCATGCGTCGTCGAATCGAGGCCGAACGTGGTCGAACATCGTAAGGGATGCCATCGGAAGAGATGATTTTTCACGACAGTGGCGCGACCGTCGCACCACTGTCGTGATTGTGTCGTAACGACCTGCAGCGATCGACTGACACTCGAAATCGGGCCAGTGATCCGTGTATTAGCGCAACGTTGTCATACTCGACACATCTCAGCCGCACGCTCGCCTTATTGCTACACGTGCAATAATAAATCGTCGATTTAGCAACGACGTTCTTTCAGCAATCGCTGAGAGAGAGAGAGAGAGAGAGAGAGAGAGAGAGACTGTCGTAGGTGTGTAGGGACCACACACTCGGTGAGGTTTGCGCTCGTCGAGAGACGGATTTCTTCCTCTCGCGACGATTAATTAATCCTTACCGCGGCCTCTTTGCGACTTTTGTCTCTTGTCCGAAAGAATGGAATCGCCGAATCGATCGCGTTTCTCTCGCGACGGATATTCCGCGACCGTGTCAGCCGGATATGCCTCGGTCTCGATCCTTGGTGGTCGATTCGAGCTATCTATCCTAGCACGGAACGCGCGCGCGCGCGGCGCGGCGCGACGCGAGTCGGGAACGTGCGACGAATAAACGAACGAGCAATTTTCGAGCGCACGTCTCCCGCCTGCCGATCGATTCGCGGCCAGACTTAACTTCGGAGAAAGGACTTTTTCACGTGCTTTGTCGAAATGTCACACACGCGCCGCTTTCATGCCGCTTTCAGCGATCCCTTATCAGCAGCTGACACCGCTCGCCTGTATCTCGCGAATTGCGGCATGAAGCAAATTCGACCTTTGCCCGATGAATTTTCCTCAAAACGAGACAGACATTAGACACGCTCGCGATCGGACGAGAACCGATGCGCGAGGACCGTGCGTTCTCCAATTTTCCAAAGAACTCGACAAGGACACCCCGTTTCACTCATTTTATTCACGCTATTCACACCGCGTTCGCGCGAATAATCGTGGAATCCGTTCCGTTCGCCGCTTCCAACCCCCGAGCCGTTATCCCCGCGATATTAGACGACAGCAAGGCCGACAGACTGCGATTTCTCTCACAGCGAAAAGAAAAGGGCCGACCAGGGTCAATCAGCCGACAAACAGAGCGTCCGATCGCCCCTGGCCAGCGCGCGTGCGAGCGAGCGATTTCCCCCTCGTCGCCTCTCGCTCACAAGTCTCTGGCAACCGCTGCCTCCCACGTCTGCGGGAGCCTCGCTCACCTGGCTCACCGCGGTAGCATCCTCCTGCACTCCCGCAAGTCGAGGACTTTCTCCGAAAGACGGCCAACTATATATAAGCGAGATGCACGCTGTTTGAAGCACGTTAGACGAAAATCGTACCGCTCGAGTGCCACGTCGAGCAGGCCACGTGCTCTTTCTCTCTCTTTCTCTCGTCGCTACGTTTCGATTCTTCGCTCGTACGCGGACAAGTATCTTGCTTGCAGTATCTGCCGCGGCACCTGCCGAAGGTCGAGGTTCAGTCGAGCGCGAGGAACGCGAACACACGCAAATACACGGTCGTGCATGTGACTTGGCGAGAGAGGACCGAAGGACTCCGGAGCAGCTTTGGCCACTGGAGCAGATCTCGACCACGTCACGGGGTATACCATGAGATCCGTGAGAAGTCGGGCACCTCTGGCAGTAACCGTGCTGGCCGCGACGGCCTTATTGCTGAGGCCTATCCATGCGGACGGTGAGAGAGAGAGAAAGAGGGTTCAAAGAGATCGCATCTGACACAGCAACTTTCTTTATTAAAGAATAAAAGAGTAATTAATGTATGTCGTCGTGTGCCGCACGTCGTGCAATTTGTAGTCAGAGTATCGACAGCGAAGTCGCTAGAAAGTTCGTCGAGACACTGAGCTTCGGCAACACAACCGCGTCTCGTGTCTCGCGTTGGATTTTTTTTTTCCGGTAGGCACACTACCGGCACACACTACACCACATGACTGTGCAAAGCGAGAGTGCATGACGCGATGTGCAATTTCTAATCGTTAAGTTCCGCCGGTCAGATCCCTCCTCCCCTCTGTCTGTCTCCGTTGCTGCCTCGACGTTTTTCTTTATTAGAGTCTCCGCGTTCGGATGTACGTCCGCGTTCTAATCAACCTAACCCGAGAGCGTCGGGTTTCACAAAACCCATCGTGTCTCGGCCACACATATACAAGTCTCAGAGATGAGGTTTTTCAGAGGGGAGGCGGGGGGGAGTTTTGCTTGTTAGCGTACTACTCGACATACTGCTTTGCTAGTTTCACGTATCGTTATCGTATCGGCCTGTTATCGTTGACAAACGACAGACGATTTGTGTTCTCGCTATTAATATTTCGCATAACGAGTTAACTCTGAACGATTTTTCACACTTTATTCGACCTTCAGTCTACCGTAAATATTTCATCTCATTTTATCTCCAACGTAGTATACAAGTGTGTGTGTGTGTGTGTGTGTGTGTGTAATACCTTTGATATCAGGATGCATGAAGAGAAATCGAGAAATCGAGCGTGGCGGACCTGAAATAGAATTAGAATAGATATTACGACGAGAGAGAGAGAGAGAGAGAGAGAGAGAGAGAGAGAGAGAGAGAGAGAGAGAGAGAGAGAGAGAGAGAGACGTGAGTTGTCTTCAAGACAAATTACTCGTGCAATCTTCGCGCATTTTAGCTCAAGCCGTAATTTTATTAATGTCATAATACGATGCCCGCGACTTGTATATATATGCCGATTGTTTCGATGTCGTTAGACGCACATAAACCGCGTGCTCCGTCGCTTCCTGCTTCTAGTCTCTATTGTTTCGAGTGACGTGCGTGCGATTTATGTTTTAGTTATCGTGCAACATCTCGAGTCGGAGACACGAGAAACGGTCATTATTTAACTCGGTTCAATGTTCCCTGGTTCAAGTACGTTCGGATGAAGAACCGAGTCTGGACAGACTTTTCATCGTTTGACTGATTGATCTTTTTATTGTCCTGTTACGCTTTATACGCTCTTGATACATTTGATTCCGCGTCCTTCTTTGTCTGCTCGACGAGTTTCTCGTCATTTACGTTATCTCTTACGTTTGATGTCGACGGTTCCCGATATTTCTCTCTCGCGGCTCCTTCGTCCCGTTCGCGCATCACGTTCGCGCGATAAATCCAAATCGGACGCGCTGTTTGCGCACTATTCCGGTACATCCACGCGCATGACTCGACGGCGAGCACGACGACGGTGACGTTGATGCTTGTTGAAAATTCGATAGATTCGCTATTATGTACATCGTCGTGAATGTATCAGAACGACCTCAGAGACCTCAGAGAGATCAAATGACCGAATGTTATTCGGTGGCGACTTGAAATTTCGGCCAATGATCACGCCGAGCAGGCATGAGATTTCGCGATAGGAAATCGTCACGGTCACTGTTAACCGCTACCATGTTTCGGAATTGTACACTGATTTCGGACAATTTGAGACGCGAATTTGCGCGATAATTTCGCGCGAGAGTTTCACACTGATCATAATGCGAGCGATTTTCGATCGGCTGCGAGAGTCTGGACATTTCTATCTAATAAGAATTACACGTTGGAGGAGAGATTCGAGTTGCTTTTCAAATTGCTTTAGACTTCCGCTTTCAGAGTCGCGAAATTGCTGAAAAGACGCGAGATATTGCCACCGCGGCATTCATTATTCACTGTCTCATCGCTAACGTCACGTCACCGCAAAATTACCGATAAACAACGGGGTTTATTCATTAACGACGGGGTAATTTCACCGGAACAATGCAAACCGGACGGTGATAGGCCGTCACAACTATGTGCGCAAGAAAGTGAGAACCGTTGCATTGCGCGCGCCAAGAGCGGATTCGAGGATTTGAAGGATAATAATAATTTGTAAAGAAGACAGACCGGGGGGGGGGGGGGGTATCTCTTTCGCGCGTAACGACTATTATTTACTCCGTTGCTGCCTAAGTGATAAAAGTTTGAACGGATAATATCGCGTTTCTCGGACGGAGGATCCGAGATCCGCGAAACAGGATGCTGGTGGAAACGCATCGGCGCGGGCGGCGTGGTGAAAGGAATATTTCAATTGAGGATTGATTCAGTTGAACATGAATGCGAGATTACGCATCCCGAGTGATACGCATCGCGCGATATTTTCAGCACCTGTCTCGGGTAGCTACTTACCACCGTCTACCAACTATGGCACACCTAACTTAGGAGGAGGAGGAGGAGGAGGAGGAGGCGGCGGGGGAGGAGGAGGAGGAATATCAACAAACTACGGTGCACCTTCCGGCGGTGGCGGTGGCGGTGGATATAGCGGTGGTGGCGGTGGCGGTGGATATAGCGGTGGTGGCGGTGGTTTCGGAGGTGGTCGACCTTCCTCGAGCTACGGAGCGCCTCCTTCTACGAACTACGGGGCACCGTCCTCCAGCGGCGGTGGAGGAGGCGGTAGTTTCGGCGGTAGTTTTGGCGGCGGAGGAGGTGCTCCTTCTAGCAGTTACGGAGCACCTTCTCCCAGCTACGGTGCCCCGTCTCGCGGCGGCGGCGGCGGCGGTGGTGGTGGTGGTGCTCCCTCCGGCAGCTATGGAGCGCCTTCCGGAGGACGTCCGTCTTCTACATACGGAGCGCCTTCCAATGGAGGCGGAGGTTTCGGCGGTGGCGGCGGTTTCGGCGGTGGCGGCGGTTTCGGCGGTGGCGGTGGTTTCGGCGGTGGTAAACCATCGTCGACCTATGGAGCACCTTCCAACGGAGGAAGCAGGCCTTCCTCAACTTACGGCGCGCCGTCCGGCGGTGGCAGTTTCGGAGGTGGTTTCGGTGGAGGAGCTCCCTCATCGAGCTACGGTGCACCACCTTCCACGAGCTACGGAGCTCCGTCGCATGGCGGTGGTGGCAGACCCTCGACTAGCTACGGAACACCTAATACCGGCGGTGGCGGTGGATATTCGAGTGGCGGTGGCGGTGGATACTCCGGTGGTGGCGGCGGCGGCGGCGGCGGCGGCGGTGGCTATTCCGGCGGTGGCGGTGGAGCGCCACCGTCCTCCACTTACGGAGCACCGTCCTCGGGAGGTGGGGGCGGATATTCCGGCAGCGGCGGTTTTAGCGGCGGGTAAGGGCGAAAAAGAGGGGGGGGGGCGCGAGAGGGGTCTGTTTTAACGATTAAACTGTGAAATCATTTTTCCTCATCGTGCTTCGTTGCGTTGTTGTTCTCAGCTCCGGCGGATATTCCGGAGGCGGTGGCGGTGGAGGCGGCAGACCATCCTCGAGCTACGGCGCGCCGAGCTTTGGCAGCGGAGGTGGGGGTGGACAAAGTTACGCTAGCAACGGAGGATACCAATATTAATTACCAGACACGTGTTCGCTCACGCGAGACGAACATCTCTGTGCTCGATCGCTTCGTCGGCTTCCAGCGGCCTTACGGATTGCACGATATCTATCCTCTCTCTCTCTCTCCCTCTCTCTCTCTCCCTCTCTCTCTCTCTCTCTCTCTCTCTCTCTCTCTCTCTCTCTCTGATTACGACATTCGACTCGATCGGTTTAACTAATCAGGTCGTCGTGTCGTAAAACGCATCCTCTGATCCTCGCTTCGAGAAGGCAGCTGTACATGGTTAATAATCTCGAGTAAATCCCGATACCGTTCGGTGCTGGAGGAGCAACCGAAGAGACCTTTACGCCGCGACTACATAAGCACGTCTCGTTGTCGTTGTCGTAATCGCGAGTATAAAATCTTTGATAACTGTGAGAATAATCTCGTGCGGATGCGTCCTTCGTGGGAAGGTTCCTGTCCGGCAGCCGACAGGAACAGAGTACAAAGACGGACGGTTCGTCGCGTCATAAATCTACGAAACATTTCTGTTAAATGTTTCGCAACGACGGTTTCTCGAATGGAAAAGTTACGAGTGACAAAATCCCTTATTCCTCATCGAGGCGATCGTGCATCCGTGAACAACCAAAAAAATGAAGCATAAATTTCTTCTCTCCCTATCCCCTCCCCCTTCCTCTCCTCCTGTCCTTTCTTTTCTTTCAGCTATTATTATTACTTTCACGCGCTTCCTAAAAAGAGTGTTTGTTCACGGAGTCTTCCGTTCGACATCGAAAGACGTGTGCCAGCGAAGAAGGATGAAGCCGGAGAATATATGAATGAGATTCTATATCTGGACCCTGTAACTTATTTATTTTGTAAAGACGCTTTTTATACTAATAATAAAGCCGCTATACGCTAATAAGAAATGTTGTTTCTCAGACATCTGTACAACAGACGGTCAAATATTCAGGCGGCCGTCGTCTCGCACAAGTTTTGGGAGAAAGGAGAAAGGAGAAGAAAATACGAGGCAATATTTCGTCGGTCGTTCTCTCTCTCTCTCTCTCTCTCTCTCTCTCCTGCTCTTTCCTTTTTCTTTCTTTTTTTTTATTTTCTTTCAACTGTCGCAACTATTCACCGTTCTCTCTTAATTCGATAAAGGGATTAGCTTCTTCGCCTTATTTATCGCCGATTAGTTATCTCGATGTCCAATGGCACATTGGCGTCGAGCTCTTAAGCTCTTAAGGCTCTTTCCTCAACACCCGGACGATGACGACTACTCGAAGCGAGGTCGTGGAGCTTGCAGCAGTAAGGTTAGTCGGTCGACGCGCGGTCGGCCCGGGTCGATCTATCGATCCCCACGGCTTGGATATCAGTAAAGTATGAATAAATAAGAGCTCTCTTTCTATTCCTGCCGTATCTAAAAGCGCGCATCGATGTCAAAAGCTCCCCGGCCTTCGTCTCGGCCGGCTCGATTCGAGTGTGTGTGTGTGTGTGTGTGTGTGCCGCCGCGTGCCTGTGACCGCGTTTGCTTGGATCGCAGACTCCCATTGAAACAGACTCGAGGATGAAAATGCTGGACAATTCCCACAGTTTTCAGACTGCTGGAGACGTTTTACGTCATAATTTGTATCGTGAGGCTGAATGAATCGTGTATATATATATATATATATATATATATATATATATATATATGCATATACCTTCGAATTACCTTTGAATATGCGTGTGCACATATATGTTGTCAATACAATGCTGCTCATGAGCGCACCTTACGACGCAAGATTACATCAAAGTTTATACATATTTTTCATTCGAAATCCTGTCTCTTTTGTCCTGATTGTGTGATTAATCCGTAATTTCTACATGTTAAAGCTATGAAATTGTTCAATGTTTCGAGTAAAACAGAGCTCAACTCGTATCCTCTAAATGGCGAAAAATGCAAAAGAATGTCGAATGTCGGAATGGTATTTATAGTTTAGTGATTACACCCGAGAGAGAAGTTGGACGTGCAAAGCAGAGTAGGTAAATAAGCTCGCTCTAGATCGAGCTCCGAGGGAGATAAGTTTAGACGGCACTTGGATAGTTATCTTATAGGATTTTTCATCACGCAACTACAAACTCAATGAAAGCCTCGAAAATCGTCACGCCGTGCAGGCACGCCGAGGTACGCCCGTAATAAGAATCGTCCGGTATTTTTGTACATTGTTTATTTGTAACATTTACAATCAACATCCCTTTCGTTTGTCAATTATACACGTATAATATCATATAATACAATAACATTTCTGCAATACATATACATGGATATACTCTTCTGAGCGGGATAAGGGGATTGATGGGGAGATTAATCCTCCGCGCGCGTAGGGACTTGTTTTATACATTATTAATGATATTCTACATTAATTAGTCATCCCGTGCGTTTGGGACACGTAACATCAAGTTCGTCGTCGTTGGTCTCCAAGTGGGAAAGTAATCGACCGTTTTATTCGAAGACGATGGAAATTGTTTTTCACCAAGAGTCTATCGATTTCCATCTTCGGTTTTCGTTTCGTTTCGTTTCGTTCCTTCTCTCTCTCTCTCTCTCTCTCTCTCTCTCTCTCTCTCTCTCTCTCTCTCTCTCTTCTCCTCCATCATTCCCTCTCTCTTTCGCTCTCTGTGATCTCACGTCGCTCCGCGTGAATCAATAAAATTTCGAATGAGCAACGTTTCTTTTACATGGGATTGCATTTTTGAATAAGAAAAAGAGGAATGATATAAAATGAATAACGAGAAAATGACTTTCTCATTGCTAATTAGCTGAAATGTCAACTAGATATTCGCTAAATGTGTAAGTTTTACGATCATACAGTATACGTACAAGCAACGTTTGTTTCGCGATGCGAATTTTGCGGCGTGTTCAAATACAGATCGATGATCGAACACATGCCTGTGTTAACGTACCATCGAAAATTGGCCAAAACACTTTCGCCCAAATAATAAATGACCAAATAAATATACACAAAGTTGCGCACTAGATTATGAACAAAAAGACGCACGCACGCACGCTCGCTGCTTCGTGGTTGAAAAGAAGAGAAGAGGAGAAGATACGCGCGCATACGTGCCCGCGCGGTTTCTTTCGTCTCAATTTTAACAGAGATATCGACGAACGCGTTCGCTCCTCAAGAAGACAAAAAAGAAAAAAAAGAAAAAGGGAAAAAAGGAGAAAGAAAAAAAGGGGGGTACACGCTATATGTACATTAATTCATAGTCTTATTCTATTACGCACTTTGCTCTCCATGTCTTAAACTAATCATCTAGTAGTATTAAATAGAGCACACTTTATGATATGTATAGGTTTCTCGTTGCGTCGTCGATCACAACGTACGTACGTTGATCGATTGATATGTAGATGATATGTGGCCGTCTTATGAGAATCTCTCTCATAAGCTATAACGTTTACCGCTTCAACTTACGGCTCCTCCTCCTTTCTCAGATTCGTATCTGTACAAGTAGCGTGAGAACCTATCTATCTAACGTTCGATATTAATCTCTTTTCGCCAAAAAAATATGCAGATATCAGTTGGGAAAAAATATATTGGATATATCGCATGCGCCAGCAACCCATGACCAATTGTTGAAAGGAGAACAAAAGAGAATCGATATCACAAATCTGTACCGCCGATTGCGAATAAAAAATCCTTACGAGAACATATATTGTCTTTGCGATTGGTTGTACGTAAAGTAAAAGTTTTTGTCGAAAAGTAAACTGCGATAGAACGCAGAGAACGGGGTGGTTGAAAGCCGACAAGAAAGCCTTGAGTAAAGGCGAGGAGGCAAAGTCAGATAATTCGAAAATTGTAAAATATGTGATGACGGCGTAATCACGGCTGGCGGCGCGCGTATAGGGCTATACTTAAAAACGCTAGATTCTCGTCACGTTCGAATCTACTGTGTATACGATGCGCTATCGTGTCGTACATATTACCATCGTTCACTTGAAGAGAGAAACTGGATACACTCGATAGAGCAAACGTTGTAGAGAGATACGTATAAGCCGTGAACGGGTCAAGACAAACACGACCTGACCAAAAAATTAGTCGGAAGGACATCACAAACACAAACGATCGGAAGGTCACCTTCACGGTGCACCGTGTGTGCAAAAGTAACTCATACTCGTAACTTATTTTCGTACTATAACAAGAGAAATATAACAAAGAGGCAAATTTTAGCGTGTGAATTATTAGCGCTTGTTCACGAGTTATTCTAGGAGGATCTCAGCCGTCTCGCTCGTCATCGTCTCTAATATCCGAGTGAAAGTCTACCGCTGAATGACCGACGGACAGACGGAAGTACACGGTAAATGCATGCTACGACGCCGACGGGACATGCTCTCTCTCTCTCTCTCTCTCTCTCAGCTTCTTCTTTCCGCGCCGCATCTTTCGCTTTACTCGCCAACGCCGCATCGTAAGTAACGCGCTCGTAATTTCATCCGGAGCGGCAGCTTGGGCAGCTCAACTTGGGCAGCTTATACGATGCGCGGTATGGCGTACGGCGTACGTATTTATTAGCGAGGAGCTCTCTCGTTCGGTCGATTCGGCTTGGTCGATATTCCGCTTCCGATTCCGATTCCGATTCCGATTTCATTGAATCACCTTGCTAGAGAGAAGAAGCTCGAGGACGAACGAGGAGCACTATATTCGCGATTCGCTTCTCAGGGCGAAGCAAACGCAAAGGTAATTTAGCTTAGCATCTTTAAAACTTGTGAAATCCTTCCTGTAATAAAGTGTTTTTCAAACGAAAGAAAAAAGAAACGAAAGTGACAACGCTTTCACGGCTTTCTCAGCAAGAAACGATCAATTGAACTCGGACACTTGCAGAAACAAATGACGGAAACGATAAGACGGTTTGATCAATTCACTAGTGTTGTTTGCCATTCGTGAGGAAAATCAGAGAGCGTAAAATTACAAAGTCAGATGCTTATCACAATTCATCGAGTGATTAAGAACTAAGTAGAAAAATATTGTACAATCTATGAAATTACCTATAAGTATCTCATTTTATCGCGTTATGTGGCGTCGCACTTCGAGATTCGAGAATAAAATTCTCGGGGGTGCGCTTAATATTGTTTCAAAACAGAAAATGTTGGGTTTCCTGCCCCTCTCCCCTCCCTCCTCCTACTCCCCTTCCACACACACACACACACACACACACACATAGATACAATCTGTATTAAAAAATTGACAAAACTCAAGTTTCGGGTTCGCAATAGGTCGGGCGAGAAAGGTTTTGTCAAATAAATTTCAACACTTGTCAAGTTTAAAACAAAATTATACAACGTATCGCATCATTTCTCTCTCTCTCTCTCTCTCTCTCTCTCTCTCTCTCTCTCTCTCTCTCTCTCTCTCTCTCTCCCCCCCTTTCCCTCTCCCTCTCCCTCTCTGAATAATCTTGTTGCATCATCGTATTCTTGGCGAAACTGTCCGAGAATTATCAATTTCCGGCTCTAGTCTTGGCGCAACGACAACGTTGCTCTCGAAGCACGGCGCTACGGCTTTTTTGGCGGTAAACAATGATACGATATATGAGCAATCGGATATGTAACAAGTGTAATATTACTTTCCTAAGCGTTTATTGCATAACTTTCTCGGTCGGTCGGCGCAATATACGTCAACAATGTGACAACAACCAACTCTTGAAATTAACAATAACGACGATAATTCGTATCTGCGATATTAATATCTATGGATTTAGTCTTTTTGCGTATGTGTGTAGAGAGAGAGAGAGAGAGAGAGAGAGAGAGAGAGAGAGAGAGAGAGAGAGAGAGAGAGAGAGAGTACATGTGTGTGTGTGTGTGTGTGTGTGTGTGTATATTTGTGTCATTCATCTCTCACTTTGCTCATTGTTACCACATCAACTGCTCATGATTATGTCGCATGTTTTTATATATATATATATATATATATATATACATATATACTATATGATAAACACAACGAATCTCTCTCTGGACTACGAGCGATCTGTCTAATACGATTCTGCGACTCATGTCTGATACTCGAATGAATGACAATACTGTCATTGGTGAACTATGCGATAAAGTAATACAACACATTTAATGATTAAATAATCGGTGATATTTCTTCATTTTTATTTTATTTTCTTTTTTATATCGATAGCGCTTTTTACCGTAAACGTAAAACTATAAGTGTCTTTAAAATTTCGGAAACGATAAAAATTGAAGTCATCAGCAATGGGTGGGGACGATTAGATGGGTATTTAGTTTCATTATGGCGAGATCACACTTGAGTCGCAAAGTCAAATCATATTTCTTCTACAACGAGCGATCGTACTAGATTATCGTCCACGCTGTTCTAACATTATATCTACACACGTGCATTTGTACGCTTGTACATTTATCATTGGTATGTGTATATGCTTTTATATGACGCGTATCTTGTGTGCACCTGTACGTTCGACTGAGCGAAGCGAGGGAAGAACGATCGATCGCAAGTACAAAAGCTCCGTTTTACTTTTCCTAACATCAATATGGACGTTCGACATTATGATGCACTGTAACTAATTATAGCGAGAATTAATTACAGCGAGAGGTGCGATGGAAGGATGGCATACCGCGGGCAGGAGGAGGGGTGAATAAGATTTTTCTCTTCTAGTAAGTCTTGAAAGAGTAATCGGGTATGCGTATGTGCGTATATAGTTGATATTCATTGTCGATATATCAACATAAAAATATCACTGAATGTCTAGTGAAAAATATTCATGAATCGTCGATATGAAAAATATTAATATTAAAATATGAATACTAAAAATCTTGATCAGAAGATTTTATGCGTAACGTCAATATTAATAATTTCTCAACATGTAACGTTCTTCTCAGAGTTCTTCTGATTCTTATCTGTGTTCTCTCTCTCTCTCTCTCTCTCTCTCTCTCTCTCTCTCTCTCTCTCTCTCTCTCTCTCTCTCTCACTCACTCACTCACTCACTCACTCACTCACTCACTCACTCACTCACTCACTCACTCACTCACTCACTCACTCACTCACTCACTTACTCACTCACTCACTCACTCATTCAACTCATTCTTTTCTTTCTTAGAAACGTGTTTTGTGTTGGCTTATTTTTCCTCATCATCTTTTATATTAAAACTCTTCTAACTCTACTAAATTCTAATTCTAAAATGTCTATAACAAAGTTTCAACTTTTAGTTATTAATACTTTCAGTTATTAAACACTTTCCGACACAAACAAAAATAAAAGTTGCATCGTCTATAGAAAAATTGAAAATTTCAATTGACTTCGGACAATGATTTTGGACAGCAATTGATTTCTTTTCGCCCGGTGTTTAATGTATTCAGAATCGAGAGAGGAAGAATGCCGGGTACACTTATATAACATCGTACACATAATTCTGTATAAACGTTAACATGTTCGCCGTTCTGTTTGGTTGATTTTTAACGAACAAGCTGTATGTCAATCGAGTTGTGGAGAAAAATCTCGCAATTTTGATCTGCTCTCTCTCTCTCTCTCTCTCTCTCTCTCTCTCTCTCTCTCTCTCTCTCTCTCTCTCTCTCTCTCTCTCTCTCTCTCTCTCTCTCTCTCTCTCTCTCTTCTGTGTCAGGTTGGACAGATCGCTCGTATTTTGAAACTCTCTTAAGCAGTTTTGTAATAAACTGTAAATATATATATATATATGTGTGTATATGTAATATCTTTATATATATATATGCTTATATATATACTTCTTCAAAAAAAACAAGGAAATCACACACTAGGCCTAGTTGGCGGTGCGGAATAGGGATGCCCAGCCCGAGTACGTCCGAAGCTCCGACTTTCAGTTTGAAAACGTTACCCTTATCCCCTTGTTGCTCGTTTCGTGTATACTTTTCATCCCTATGATCTCTCTCTCTCTCTCTCTCTCTCTCTCTCTCTCTCTCTCTCTCTCTCTCTCCCTCCATCTACTTTTTTCATACTTTTATGTATTTATCGGTCACTTTGGGGCAACGTCGAAAACACGAGCGCGAGCAGACGCGGGCAGGTACAGGTCATTACATGGGCACCAGCAGCGTGCGCTTACACATGCAGACAACAGGCATACATACACGCAATCATAAATACACACGCGCACAAAAGTACGAAAGAAACTTTCTGTCGGACTTACCGCAGGCTACCGCATTGGCTCGTCTTGGAGCTCCGAGGTTGTAGGGCGGATAGAAAAAGGAGAAACGGACTTGGACAGCGAGTGGGGTGATATTCCGAGGGTATGTTTCCGCAACGATCGGGAAATGTCAAAAACGGTTCCACGTCGATCAGGAGAATTTCAAGCGGGATAATTTACGGCTAACGCCATTACTGAAAGTTGCTCCGGTTGTTATCTTTGTCACGCATCTGCGCGATTGAGTGACGTAATGATGCGAAGAGGTCGATTAAGACGACATTTAGACGACAAAAAGTTTAAGGATCTCTCAGGCGTGGGTGTGGCGGTTATGCCGCAAAGATCCGAGAGCGAGAGAAAAAGTTGTCGCGTTTAATTTAAATAATAATTTAAATTGTGTCATGTTTTACGCGCGCGTAAACGAAAACGAGACGCCCGATCGTATCGTGAGAAATTTATACTATCGCACGCGCGCGCGCGCGCGTCATCTCAGGGAGGAGTTAGAAAGCGAAGAAATCTCAAATCGATATGGAGCGGGAGTTTAATCACAATAACCAATATGATTTCGAAGTGAAGTCGAAAGAAATCCGGGACGGGGGGGAGGGGGAAACACTCGCATCGTAGAACGGCAGAAGAAGAGGCTGGCCGGAGGAGTTGAAGGAGGAGGACAGAACGAAAAATTGAGAGGTCCGCACCGCCGCACTTATTGTTGGTCACAGCATCCGATCACGGAACCAGGAGTTAGAACGCGGTGCTGGATTGTGGTTGTCGGGGTGCGCCGGGTACCAGGTGTCCTCCGGCGCTTCCTACGCCGCCGCCGCCGCCGCCACCACCAGCGACTACACCATCCTGTACTCCGACCATCGTACATCCCGGCTCCATGTCGTAGTCCGGCTCGAGCGCAGGATTCACTCGGCCGTTCGATTCGTCCTTGCTGCCGTAGAGCTTGCCGACGCCCGCAGCTAGGACCGCCATCTGCTCCCCCTCGGCAGGATCCGGGCCGACCCGCTCGACGTCCTCCGGGATATTGACCACGCACCTGAAGACGTCGTAGCCCGGCGCCAGCCGACCGGTCAGGAAGGCATACTGCGTGCCGCATGACACGCCAACGAGAGTAACGAGCGACAGCAGCATCGCCATTGTTCTGAAGGGGAACATCTGCGTAGCTGACTCCTCGTCGTAGCCCGGATAGCGGATCAATGCCGGCAGGCCCATCATCGGCTCGCCGCCGCTGATGCGCACCAGAAAGGCGATTATGTACGCGGACAGACTGCCGTAAGTGTTGCAGTAATCCTTGAAGTGCACCACCATCAGCAGCTGCGGGAACAGGATCACGTAGATGAGATCCGAGCACATAGACCAGAGGCCGTAGATCGACGGTATCGTGAGAGCCATCACGGTGCTGAGCACGCCGACCACACCGATCCCTGCTCGCATCACCCAGATGATCTCCATCTCCGAGGCCTGCAACGAGACGCACGCGCGCGGAGATCGCGCGCGCCCACGGCGGCGCTCAGAGAGTTTCATCGATCTGATTCCATCGAATCTGCTGATGTCGCAGCGCGGTCTAATGAAACAAAACAGTCAGACGAGTCAGCGAGAAGAGAGCGATCTGCAATCTGCTCTTCTCGAAAGGGAAGGGTAACGGCGTCGAATTCTCCCGTCAGTCCCGTCAGTCCCGTCAGGAGTGAGCGATAAGTCGCTTCTATAAGTCGGGTTCCTCGGGATACTCCTCGAGGAGCGGAGGAACCTTCCGTGGAAGAGGTTGCTTGGAAGGTTGCTCGAGAGGCTCATCGAGAGAGTTCACATCGCGCGAGTGGGAATCAGAAACACGGCCCCGTGGCACGGCCCGTATGCATCGACACGTCCGCGTCGTGAGCGACCCGCTCGAGCCCGCTCGAGCCCGCTCGAGCCCGCTCGAGCCCGCCTCGCGCGAGTCGAGTGAGTGCTTTCGCACTCACGCGAGCGATCGCGGCCGCGCAAGCGACATATATCTCCGCGCGGAAACTCACCCGCTGGCGGAAGATCAATTTGTAAACATTTCTAGCAAACATCGAACTAGCAGAGAGGATGCTGCTATCCGCAGAAGACATCACCGCCGCCGATACCGCACCCAGCCCGAAAAAGGAAACAAAGTCTGGTGTCAAGTACTGCAGGACCAGTGGCAGGATCATACTAGTCTCCGTCTCCGTGAACGGATAAACGCCGGTGTAGCCCGTCTCGTTCCAGGCTGCAACATGCAAAGTCACGTTTCGGACGATAACGACGGACAGCCCTTTTGGATCTCGTCTATTTTCTCAACGAGAACAAAGAGCCCGGGATGTTGAAGGGATCCCTCTCGCCACTGCCCCGCCGCCCTCGAGTCGATCCGGCGGATAAAAGAATCGCGGTAATGTCAAAGTGCGGAGATTGCGCGTGTCTGAGAGCTCCTTTCTCACTCTCTTTGCGGATGTGAATGTTGGGGGGAAGGGGAGGGGGGCGGGGGGGGGGAGGAGGTATGACCGAAGCAAAGAGTATGAGAGATGGGGAGAAGAGCAAGAGTTTACTCTCTTTCCCGTCCGTCTATTCATTCAGTCTCTATTCCAGCGCGATTCTTGACTGATTACATGATGCGAAGCCCACCCCTATTTATCTACGATCTCTCGCATGTTCTCGCCCATTCACCTCCCCCCGCTCCGTAACCTTCTCAACTCTTCCCGTTTGCTCCCTCTGCCAGGCTTTGCTGCTGGCGAATTCTTTCTCAACACACCGCCACGGAACGTATCGCCACGGTATGCCGAATTTGAATGCCGGCAACGGAATTGTCGCGCATTCTCGCGCATTATAGCGGGCGAGTTTTGCGTTACCCTCGTTTTCGTGCAGGCATCGCCACATGGCCAAGTCCCACGCTATTGTGCACGTCGCGAAGCACCGGGACAACACCCCTCGATCATCCACCCCCGTCCTCGGCACCCTCCGCGCCATCCCACCCCACCATCTCTGTTCGTTGGGCCGCTTGTAAATACCAGTAGAGTTCTCTCTCTCTCTCTCCCCCCTCTCTCTCTCTCTCTCTCTCCCTCTCTCTCTCTCTCTCCCTCCCTCCCTCTCTCTCTCTCTCTCTCTCTCTCTCTCTCTCTCTCTCTCTCTCTCTCTCTCTCTCTCTGTCGTGCCACCAAATGTCAAGTAGTCTTGCAACACGACGACGAGAAACGTGGGACGACCTGGGTAACCTGGTCCTTAATTCGAGCTCCTATCGAGCAGAGGGTAAGAGAGGGCGCAACGGGTGCACCCTCGAGAGCGAGAGCGAGCGGACGAGGACGAGGACGAGGACGAGGACGAGGACGAGAGGGCTGAGAACGAAGCGATAGACGCCACGTCGCGTCGTTTCGTTATTAATCATCATTCAAGTTGGGTATCCCCAACTTTTGCCGCTTCTTTCCCGCTTTCTCTCTTCCGAGATAATGAGAGAGAATACGCAGCCACATATCGGATCTCGATGCGTTTTACTCAGATATATACATTTACAAAAGTGTGAGTCCAAGAGGTGCAGTCTCTAGGTTCTCGCATCTCACAACTGGAGAAACGCGTAAAGTGCAGCTAATGAATGAAATATGTGATACTCACGAGTCGCTTTGGCGATCGCTCCAATCAGAACGGGAGGGATGGCCATGAGAATGCAACCCAAAGCGGCTACATAACTCAATATCTGAGCTCTCCCCGCGGTTTTCGACGAGAGGACGCGTTGAAAGTACACTTGCCAAGGTATGCCGCCGAATATCAAGAGTAAACCGTAATCCATGTAAAACCAATATTCTTCGGGTTTTACTTTGCCGATCCAATCGACGTCCATAGAACTAAGAGATTGTACCTTCGGATTGGTCCAAGCGAAAGGAATGCACATCCACTGTGGACAAAAGATATTGAAATCGCACTGCCCTTTGCCTTTGATCAACGGCGTAATTTTCAGCTTTCTTCAGTTTTTCACTAAGCTGCACAAGACTAATAATCGCGCAGGGGACTTTACACGATTAACGGATTAAGACGAACGAAAGATATGAACTCGAAACGAAGCAATAAGAATTAATTAATTAGAATGATCAATTAATTTGATGAAAATTCATGTATATCTCTCGCAACACTTTGCATAAGACGACGCAGTCGATCACACCGGTCGATCGACTGGTGGTCGCAAGATGCCGCATAGTGGCCGCGGTCGCGGATTTTTCTTTCAGATAGAGGATTCGTTTTAGCAGTTTGATGATATCTTCCAGAGATCCGATTCTATCGCGCTTAATCACAGCACAGTTAATGGACGATGGTCTCGTTAGGCCGAGAGAGAAGGAGACAGTCTTCCTCTTTTCCGAGTTTTGCCGAGAATCCGAGAATTTGGATTGGAAAAGGAAGGGCACGAGCGCCGAATGAAAGAATTGCGCATACAACAGGGACTTGTAACTAATTTGTGGAGAGTAGTACTCGAAATAGCGGTGATGCACCAGCGACATACACCAGCGATACACCGCAGTGAGGTTTCTTTTAACTCGGAATTTTCGATATCCTTGCTGGAATACAATGGAAACCTTCTCGATAAATTTCGCGGAAATAACAATTCGATTCGGCGTTCTTTCGGCAAGCGGGCAAGCACCGCATATACATGATACACAATATACAAAGTACAAAATCGGTGATACAAACGATGATCGCAGTGGCAGAATCGCGTGATGTCGATCAGCTCCGTTGTATCGCAACGAAGGTTCGTTCGCGATCATGTTTTACGCCGCGATATTTCTTGGAGTTTCACTGTGTGCAGCCTATGCTGCGGTGAAAAAAAGAATTGGTGGGAAAAAAGAGAGGTGATTGGACAAGACAAGCTCGGTGACACCGCTGATAACAAACACCGCTGGTGATCTTGTCGAGACACATGTAGTTGAGTAGTAGTAGTTTTGGTACAGAGAGAGGGAGAGAGAGAGAGAGAGAGAGAGAGATTGACGAAAACAAATATCGATAAAGATTAATAAACAACAACGTATGATGGGTCGAGCTTCGAATACTGCTGGGGAAAGCTTACCAGACCAATAAATATGCAAAAGAGCTGAATGACGTCGGTATAAGCGACGGAATAGAGACCGCCGAAGAGAGTGTAGAAAACTGCGATGCAGGCGCTCAGAATGACGGAGGTGCTCTGATCCATGTCGATGATGACCGCCAGCGTGGCGCCGAGAGCCGCGAGGATGCCCGCTGCCCAAAACACCTCGCCGCAGAGTGCGGGCAGAAAGAGGAGGCCGCCCATCCGCTCGCCGAATGCGTCTTGAAGCGGATCCAACATTGTTATGTACCCCTGCTGTCGCATCTTGTTCGCGAAGAAAATACCACCTGCGGCAGAATCAACGAGACATCTTGGGGAGGGAAGCTGGGGGGCGGGGGGGGGGGGGATCGAGCGGACCTGTCATTGGCGTCACGACACGCCGAGCGCCAGGTCGAGCGCGCTCCATCATGCCCGTATCCGGTCAACTTATAGGTACTTGTAGGTTTATTCCTCTCGAGGTCGAGGTCGCTCGGCCTCGCTTGGTCTCACTCAACGGAGCGCAGTTGAGCCGCGAGCACGCCAAGCGCGCGGATCATATCAATGATCGTATTTATATACTCGAGACTTGAGAATCTCTCTCTCTCGATCTCGATCTCGACCGATGCGCCGCGGCCGGCACTCGGAAAAAACGAAAACGAAAACTCACCGAAAACGAGGCTGAGGGCGTATCCGAAGGGCGCCTGGCACCAGACCAGGCCTCTCGTGTAGATAGCTTCGGCGGTGCCGTTGATGTAACCGCCGCCGACCCAGGTCGCCGTCATCGTGAATATCCCTACGAAGAGCCCGATCGAGCGGCCGGCCAGCATCACCTCCTCCTCGGAATCGTTGCCAGCCTCCTTCTTCCTGGCCGCCCATATTCCCACGCCCAAGATCAGCAGGTAGAACAGAACGATCGAGACCACTCCTGCAACGTTGATCATCTTCGGGGAATAGGGGTCCACCGGCGCGAGCTCGAGTTGACGGAGACGTAGATCCGGCAAGTTCGACGATTGATGCGCTCTAGGATCCTCCGGATACCTACCGGCAACTTTACTCTCTGTAGAAGTGAGAATCTTCTTCCCCCACGAATCCTCCCTCCCGCACGTTCCTTGCTCAAGCTCAAGCTCAGGCTCAAGCTCAAGCTCGGCTACTCGAGCTTTCCTCGATGCAGAGCGCAGCGAAAACTCAAAGACGCGAGGACTCCTTTCGCGTTCGTTCGTTCGTTCGTTCGTTCGTTCGTTCGTTCGAACGAACGTCGCGAAAAAGACCCTTTGCCCCCAGGTCCTACCAAGGAATTTATCAATTTTGTGCAGTAGGGTGTGTTGTATATCGAGTTCGTTTCGCTTCATCAACACCGTGCTTGTCACGCTCGCGTCACAGCCGACAAGTGCAGCTAAGCGCAAATATTGTGCTCCTACCCGAGGGGCATTTAAATCGCTCCACCGAGTTCACCCTCTAATCCTGTTAGGCGTGGTCTATCCCCGAGGCCTAGCCGCGCCGCGCGCAAGTCGCGCGCGACTCGAGAAAGATGCAATCTCGATTAAATACTGCCACTGCCACTCGAACATCTCGGATCATCTGTGTCCACTGTGTGCGCTATTCCCGTGTGCGGACGAAATATTACATTACGTACGGGCTAATGTAAGAAAGCGAGCGAGTCCTGCGAGACTTGGGAGACTTGGGAGGTGGGCGGGGGTGAGTCTACAAGACGCGGGGGAGAGATTCCGCCGTAATAAGAGTGCAAAAGGAAATAAGGCCAAGAATTCGTCGAGTCGCCGAGTCGCTTGGCTGCGGGAGGGAGCCCGAGGATAAAAGGGATAAATAGGGGGACGGGGGGGATACCTCTGAGATCCCCGCGAGGTACAATCACGCAACAGCGGGGGGCAGCCTCACACGGGCACCGGCCGTCCTGGCATGTCCTGATGACGGCTCTTCCAGGCGGCCGACAACGACGCCGACTTGGGACTTGGGGGGCAGCAGTCACCCCACCGGAGCGAGGTCTTCTGGGAGGGGCTGTTCCTTGTTCTAAACGCGAGGCCGCCCATGGGCGCTGATGGCCATCGATTTTCACCCAACTCACCGAGTCCGCTTCCTCTCTACTCGCTTTATTCCTTCCCACTCTTGCCCCTGCGTCCTCTTGCCCGCGACCGAGTGTAGGAACCGTTCTCTCACCTGAAAGAGCGAACCGTGTCCCGCCAGGGTGCCGGGTGCCGGGTGTCGGGTGTCGGGTGTCGGGAGTCGGGGCGCCCGCGCCCGCGCCCGCGCCCGCGCGGGGAGTACGCGGAGTAACGCAAAAGAGAACGAAACGGCCTCGGTTCGGCTCGGTACATTTTTCGCATTTACTTTACGATCGACGGAGAGGAATCGTTGTCGATTCTTATTCTTATCGAAGAGAAATTGCAATTATATTCCCCCCCCCCCCCGCAGATTGCCCTTTCCCTACAACTGTCAACTGGCAAACGTGTGCGACAATTATTACAGAATTATCTTTTTTTTTCGAGACACTTTTTCACATTTTTTCAATTCTATATTTAATAATAAATTCTATTTGTATATCCACACGGTATTACGCGCGAATTCCTCATTTTACACACGTTTACTTTACGTTTATGAATCATCATCGAGCTTCTTCCTCATTCAGTATTCTCCTCATTCAGTACTCCAAATTTCAGTCTCCAAATTATTCTTCTTTCGTGTCTTTTCACACGTTTGCAATATCCTGACGAAATTCTACGTTCTCCAAGTAATTAGTAATACTTTATTGATCCACATTATACGGATCAAAGGGTGAATTTTCCATCGCGCGTTCCATCCATCGCACCGTAAAAGAAATTACCTCTATCTATAGAGCAGCAAATTTAATATTTCTTTTTCTCTTTTTTTTTCTTTTTTTTCTAAAGAGGTAGCACTACAGGCAAATACTCACGATTTGAAACGAGCTTGAAACGAGCTAGGGTTCTCCCGATCTCTTCTTACGATTCCCCAGTCAGACCCGAAGCGGTTGTGACTACTTTATTGTACGGGGTACCACTTTAACCAGCGACGCGGACAGATACGCAGTCGTAAAGCGTAGTAGTCACTGGTCCCCGAGGGGGCGAGCCACGTCGTCCCCTTGACGTTCCCGTGGGCTCGTGGTTACGACCGTCGAGTTGCGGTCGAGATCGTCGTCGTCGTCGTCGTCGTCGTCGTCGTCGTCGTCGTCGTCGTCGTCGTCGTCCTCGTCGTCGTCGTTGTCCTCGTCGTCGTCGTCGTCGTCGTCGTCGTCGTCGTCGTCGTCGTCGTCGTCGAAACGACGGCTACCGGTATGTACGTTCCGTACAGTCGCGGAGGCTACCTCGTACTGAGGCGGCCAACCGTCTGCCGTCCTTTCGATGGTGTGATATTGATTCAACCCCTGTGACGTCACGACGCGGGGGTGCGCAGCACCCAACCCCACGTCGCCCCTTCTTCTTTCACCTCCCCCGGAGACCTTCCCCCTCCCTCCTCGTACCTGTCTTTCTCTGCTCTTCCGTGGACTCGACGCCCCCGCCGCCGAGGACGAAGCGGCGGGCGTGGACTACTGATTCTGGTTATCGCGAGTCTGCGCCTCCGACGTCGCGACGTTCCTGTGAGCAAGATTGTTCTCTCTCTCTCTCTCTCTCTCTCTCTCTCTCTCTCTCTCTCTCTCTCTCTCTCTCTCTCTCTCTCTCTCTCTCTCTCTCTCTCTCGCTCTCGCTCTCGCTCTCGCTCTCGCTCTCGCTCTCGCTCTCTCCATCCTCTATACCTGGTTCTTTCTCACGATAAACGGGTGAGCGGAAATTTGAGGGGAAACTGCTCCAAGGTCGTCCGGGAGATGAAGAGTTCCGGGAAAAGAGGAATGAGTCGCTCATGTCGCTCTTATTTCCTGGCGAACATTTTGCATTCCGTGTATGTCGTGTATTTCTGATGTCGTCAGTTTCTGATCATGAAATAAAGATTGGAAGGAACGAGATTGGGAGGAAAAAGAAAAACGGCCATTGTTCCGATGCAAATTTTCACGAATAGTGCTAAATTCTCGCCAATCGTGAAATTTCGCAGAGTTACCGTTACTACCGAAAGGGTACCGATCTGGCACGAGTCCCGACCCGACGCGGATCTCTAGGGCTGACGTCTTTGTATGCTTTTGTACGTTGAGCAACATTGCGAATTCTGCGGAGGTGTGCGCGGACGCATGTGTGGTAGTTTGACAGGACTCCATAAGATAGAAAGGCACACCGTATTAGCAGACCGACTCCGTACACACCGTACGTACCGTACGTATAAATACACGCCCAACATTTCAATTATTATAATTCGGTAATTATGATCGAAGAGACGATACCGCCAAGGCTTTGTTGTCTGTCATGGTGGTCACAGTGTCTGATTATTATTCCAAGAAGAGAGCACTTTTAGCGGATAGCGTATCTTATTTCAGCGAGATAACATACTTACTTACTCACTCACTTGTTTGTCGTTTCTAATATTAGTATAGGACAAAAATTATGTATGGGAATTATGTATGACACTTTCGAGTCAGCGGGGAAGCTTTGCGTTTGAAATGGAAAGACTAAAATAAAGTAATGCAAGAGAACCGTGTTTTGCAGAGGTATTCTCGTATTATTAAAGCGAATCACGAGCGGAGACCGCGAGCTTACAAATTTTACACTTACTCTACACTGTAAGAAATTATGTGTTAAATTTAACATATTTCATGCGTCTCAAATCATCCACTCTCATTTATGTGTTAATTTAACATACAGCAAATATGTTAAAAAGTAACATGCATAATATGTAAAGGATTAACACAAAAAGTTTAACATTCGAATGCCGTCAAGAATCACAGTTTGTGTTAAATTGACATACAATGAATGTTACTTCAACACTTGGGAAAAGTAATGATCTGTGATCTGATGAAATGAAAATGTTAGATTGACTATAATCTATGTGTTAAAAATCCAATCTTTATTATATTATTAATATAACACATGATAACTGTTATAATGAGGAAATTAACACATTTTATGTGTTGACTTTAAAATGACATATAAAATATGTCAGAGCAAGAATTCATGCATTTACACATATAAATTGTGTTATTTTAACATTTGAAAATGTCATTTTAACACTTGAAAATATTTAATCTTAATCTTTAACACAAGAAAGTCTAAGTGACACAACAACAACAACAACAACAACGATACGTTAAATCAACACACGACTGTGTGAAAAATTTAACACACGCAACTTTCCACACACGCAAAATTTTAACAAAAGTGCGAAACGTTCTCAACTGTGTACAAAGCACTTATGTTGCCATCATGTGTCAAGGAATGATCCGTGAAGCTTCGGGATCGTCAATATATACGCGAGCGTCGAGAATAACGTACGAGCATTACGGCGTGCGAGTTAACGATGCTGACGTCAAAACTAAAGAGACCGAGGCAGAGAGAAGAGCTATTAGTGGCTGAGTAACAAAAGAACGTTTGTCACAGAGGTCAGCAGAAAGCTGAGACGGAGAGATATATTATACATATAGCCGATCTCTCGTGCGATGGAATAGTGCGATGGACAGTATTACAAATAATTACGAGAATAGTCCATATTGAGACACCGAGGAGATAGATTGCAAAATTCCCCCTGGCCTCCTCTACTTCCTCCGCATGGTCGATACTGTGTGCTTGACCCGTCACAATGTCCCTATTTCTTTCCGTGCGCGCGCGCGCGCGCGCACGCGTGCGGGCAGGTACACACAGGATATTTATTACGGTATTATAAATTTCGTTAGTTTGTAAATTAAATCAACCTTCTGACTCGTGTATCGTCTTTTGCGGAGTTGCGTGCTTTTATTCAGGGGCGATCAAAAACGAGAGACCATGGTGGCTGTCGAGTGAATTGCACCGGGGAGCGACCCCGATGCAAAGTCGTCGCAAAGTCAAGCACCTACATCCGTGGAGGACCGAGGATGAATTGAAATTCGTCGGCCACGTGTCAGGTGAAGCACCCAGGAACGACGATACGCACGTGCGCTCGTGTGTCTCTGTGTAACTGGATACGACGAGAGTCCAAGTTCCACCAGGGTTTATAGGAGGGTGGCACGAGGTCGTGACTCTTGGTTCATATCACGTACTTGTAGTACATCACAAACGGGGTGTCGTCTTTCGAAAGTTGGGCCGACTCGCGCTCAACACACTTGTCATCTTATTTTAACGACACGTCATTATTCGCGATTGCTGCTGTGTCGCAAGTTTGATTTAGACATGTAGAGAATATATATAATCTCCATAGTTTCAACAGTCTCGACTGGGAAATATATCGTTCAATAGAAATAGACAGTGGGAAGGGGGGACGGGGTGTTTTTCCAATCAAAATAAATTATTAACTTGATCGAACGCGTCAGAGAATCCCTATCTCTCTCTTTCTCTTGTTGTTGAACTAAACAATAATTTCACGTGTGAGGCGTCAACAACGTAGAACTGCTTACGAGTTGCGGATTAGAGTAGAAAAGAAAATTTTTTTATCAACCAGTGATTGACACCGAGGTCATGTATTGTTTCAGTAGTAATCCCCTATTCTCTCTCTCTCTCTCTCTCTCTCTCTCTCTCTCTCTCTCTCTCTCTCTCTCTCTCTCTCTCTCTCTCTCTCTCTCTCTCGCATTATTTCTAACATTTCAATGTAAATACGATAACAGTTATACTATATCAATATCGGTGTGGATGAGCAATTTCTTGATTGGTTTAAATATTATCGATAGGTGGAATTAACATTAGCGTTAATTCTACAATTCATTGTCGGGTCGAAGGTGTCAGGTGTTTGACTTCTCTCTTGAGAGAAATGGTAGTGAGAAAAAAAGTATACGCGTTCTGTGCGCATTTTGGAGGTAAACAAATTCTATACTTTTTTATTCACTAGTGAAGATTTGTTCACTTATTCACTAGTGAAGATTTTTCCGATGCGTCATTGTAGTTCATAATTTGAAAATAAATTAAATATATCAAACGATTCAAAGTGAAAAAATCCTTTTTTTTGCTTGTTATTGACAGTTTGTATTATTTGAGAGTCAAAATATCGTCCAGCCAAAGAACTACACACACACACACACACACACACACACACACACACACATTATTTGAAAATAAAAGTTTCTTTGAGACTTGCGCGTTGAATCGCATTATGAGACTTTGATATGCCGATAGAGACGGTGGCGACTTGTAGCGGAGTTCTCGAAACTAACAAAAGTACAGGTTTAATAGGAATAGGTTTATTTAGCTGAGATTCAAATCCTAGGTCGAGACGCAAATCCATTGTGGTGCAACGAGTATATCTATAATACCGTCAGATGGCGCTAAACAGACTGTCACGTTTTAACAGATCTAGCGGATCGTCCGTTATTTCAGATGCACTGGCTGTGTTTAGTGGTACAACGCGATCAGTGAGCTCCGCGGTTTATTAAGCCAGCGGCACACGGTGCTTGTTTTCGTGCTGGATTGCTTGCTGAAATGATGAAAATACTGCGTTCTGATTGGTGCATTTCCATCCATCTTCGGAAATGTACCGGAAATGTAACAAGCATGTGCCGCTGGCTTTAGTCTGTACTGTTAGATCCCTAAATTTGGACCAATTACGTTAACTGGGACTTTTCGTTCTTTTTTCTTTCAATGGGTGCAAGCAGCGCTCAGTGAGCTTTTACATTTGATTGGTCCAAATCCTTTGCATTTAAAAATATACGCTAATTAGATGCAAGAGCTTACTTAGCGCTCAGTGAGCGGTGTAATACTAGGTTTGTTCTTTATAGCTGCACTGCTGCAATACTGGTGCAATAAGTTAAAATGAGACAACTATATTTTTTCTCACTCAAACTTATTGCACTAGTTCAGCAGTGTAGCTATAAAGAACCCACTGAGTGCAACCAATGGCTGCGTTCCGATATTCACTGCCAGCACTGAAATTCTATAGTATACGTGACACAAACTGTATATTTTCAGTACTGGCAGTGAATTTCGGAACGCAGCCAATGTCAGGTACTTGGGTCTATTCTTTTTAGCTGCACTGCTCAACCGGTGCAATAAATTAGAGTGAGAAAAAATATAGTTGTCTCACTCTAACTTATTGCACTAGTTTAGCAGTGCAGCTAAAAAGAACAAACCACTTATTTCGCCTTAAAGCCAAAAGTGCGATTTAGTTCAGCGAAGAGTCAAATTTCTAGCATATTTTTCTTTCGGAAGAAAGAAAAATGTGTGTGTGTGTGTGTGTGCGTACAGAAAAGGAAACCTTCTCTCCCTCTCTCCCTCCCCACCTCTCTCTCTCTCTCTCACTCTCACTCTCTCTTTCTCTCTCTCTCTCTCTCTCACTCTCTCTTTCTCTCTCTCTCTCTCTCTCTCTCTCTCGCTCTCACTCTCTCTTTCTCTCTCTCTCATTCTCTCTCTCTCTCTCTCTCTCTCTCATTCTCTCTCTCTCTCTCTCATTCTCTCTCTCTCCCTCTCTCTCTTTCTCTTTCTCTCTCTCTCTCTCTCTCCCTCTCTCTCTCTCTCTCTCTCTCTCTCTCTCTCTCTCTCTCTCTCTCTCTGTCTGTCTCTGTGTGTGTCTGCCTTTCGATGTTGTGTGATTTCTTCGATGTTGTGTGATATATTGATGACGTTATTGATCGTATCGGAAAAATTATAGACTGGGAAAATTTAATCTTAGGTACAAAATGATGCAAAAATTTACATCGAGGCAAGAATTGATTGCGGGGAGTGATGCGTTCAAGACAATTGGAAGAAATGATTGAAAAAGTGAATTTTCTAATGAAAATCGTTTATTTTCATATGTATAAGCATGTATGCGTGTACAATGTATACTCAGAGTGCGATACTTAATTTTGATACAATACAAATGTATATTTTACAATTTGCATTCGCACAAGTTTTGTCAAAATGTCTCGCGTGTAGAATCTTGTGTGTGTAGAATTATCATGTTTAAATAAAATTACGACATATGGCGACTTTTACAGTCGCTATGCGTTTTGCCTGCACGCGCGAAAGAGCCGATCGGAATCCTGTGAAATGGAAATAGGAAGGATGATAGAAAAGTTCTTCGCATGCGCTGTAAGAGAAACGTTAGCAGTTCCAATCGCGTACATACTTCACACTAATAGTAGGTATTGTTAGACCCCTTAAGACGAAGGAGCGGCAAATGTTGAGACAAGTGCTAGAGGTGGATTTAACTATCGAGTAAATATTGCAATTTTCGGTAATACTGCACACATATCGCATACATATCGCATATGGATGGGGAAATTCAACGATCTCTTCAACGACACGGACACATGTTACATGTCATTGGCACCAGTAGCAGCGAAATAAACAGAAATGTGCACAAGCCCTAAGATGCGTATCTCGCGTTACACCCCAAGCACGAGTCTGCCGAACTCGGTCACGTGGCAAAGTGGCGTAGTTGCGCATGCGCGTCAATGTTGGGACACGGTGGGATCGAGCCCGTTCTTTGTGCGCCGCTCTCTTCTCTGTTCGGCAGCCGAAAGACACGTACGCTCCGAGTGTTGCTGGAGCGAACTCCGCACCACAGTGTGTTCGAGCTAGTAACGTTTGTCGCAACGCCGTGCTTCAACATCGTGTACTAAATCGATAAATAGCACAATGGCTGATCAAGAGAATAAGGACTTCAGCGAAGATATCGCCGATCAAAGTTTCGAGCAGAATGGTGAGGCGGAAAACTGCAGCGGCAACGACAATGGCAACGGCGGCAATGGTAACGGCAGCATCGGTGCCGGCATGGGCGACGGCGATGCAGCGGACAATGGTCAGGAGTCGCAGGAGGACAGGTAATATTTATTTCTTTCGCTTTATTATTCGCGCGCGCGCGCGCGCGCGCATGAGAGAGAAAGAGAGATATATATATATATATACTGTATCGATTGTTGTGTCCCGGGGACATTTTACAATTCGTCGCGCTATCCGCGTCAAGCATCGTGAAGCATCGCGTCGTTCGCGCGCTCGCCAAAATGGCGGAGACAAAATACGCAGACTGCCGCGAAGCATTTAATCCACTCGCATCGGCACGATGTGAATGGGTTATGCTTCGACGACTCGGACTTCTCGCTTCGCCGTGGCGGGCTGCATTGATACTTATTTGTCGTTTCGATGATTGTCCTCCGTTCGTGGTCGAATGGGCGAGAGAATCCAAAGATAGACAATGGCCAAGTAAGAATGGACGAGTGGAAGCATTGGCTGCGGATAAGGGCGCGCCCAAGCGTCGTAAGAGACGGAGATCGTTTTACGCGTACATGTGTATAATGACGAGGAGATAAAATGGTGCACACAAGGCTACGAGTGTCGAAAGTTTGGCCACGTAATCCGAATCGCGCGATAACAATTTTGCGCACGTGTTTCTTGGGCGCGCTCGTCACTTCCGTTACAAACACACACACACGCACACACACATACACACACACACACACACACACACACACACACATACACACACACATACACACACACACACACACACACATACCATACGCACATACAGGAGATCGTCCCTTACGACGTACAAGCAAAAAGTTTCACGTGTGAAAATGTGTTTGTTGCGGAGTAACGAGAGTAGTAAACGGAGAGATCACTAAGAGCAGGACGCCAGAGAGAGAGAGAGAGAGAGAGAGAGAGAGAGAGAGAGAGAGAAAGAGAGAGAGAGAGAGAGAGAGAGGGGGGGGAGGGAGAGGGTGAGGAAGAGAGAGAGAGAGAGGAAAGAGGGAGAGAGGGGGGGAGGGAGGGAAAGAGAGAAAGACAGAGAGATAGAGATAGAGATAGAAATTGTCTCTTGTTGCGCGATACAAACATAGAGAATTATCACATAATTCTCCGTTTCAAATGTTTATAGATTGTATGTCTCGTTCGCTCACTGCATTATGTCGCCTCCGGCGCTCAATCACTCTCCGTCCCGACCTTCCTGCCTCGAAATCCGAACCTCCGCTCCATTCGATCGTTTTTTTAACGTAACGTGATTTCGGGATGGACGAATTTGACCATATGACATTCTTGAATCGATTTTGTTGATATGGAATTCTAATTCTAATTCGCGTAAATATCTCATATTTGTAATCTCATATTTGTAATTGTAATTATACAAAGTATAAATATAGTAAGTGAAGTATCATCTCTCTTTCTCTTGCCTTAATCTCTTCCTCCAGTCATAGCATACAGTTTATAGAAGATATGCTTCTTTTATTTTTCTCTTTACATACGTATATCTTTGTATTTTCGCAAACTTACATCACTTTTATTCTTTTTTGTACGAGGATTGCGCAAGAAAATATGTCCTAGTATTAGTAAAGTTCAGTAAGCTGGATAAGCATCACTAGATTAAACAGTAAAGCTATATGAGATTTTTTTGCTAAAAAAGAAGTAGATGCAATCCTCAAATTCTGCATTCTTGACACAAGTTGAGACAAATTTCGTCGATTCGCGCGCGCGCGTGTGCGTGTGTGTGTGTGTGTGTGTGTGTGTGTGCGTGCGTGCGTGCGTGCGTGCGTGCGTGCGTGCGTGTGTGCGCGTGTGTGCGTGTGTGTGCGCGCGTGCGTGCGTGCGTGCGTGTGTGCGTGCACGTGAGTGTATGTCGCGTGCGTGCGTGTGTGTGTGGGTGTGTATGTATGTATGTTGCATATATATGTGCGTGTGTACGCGCACGAAATATATAGAAGTATTCAAAAGTACAATTACGATTATTAATTATGAATTTGAAATTGTTCTCCCTCTTACTCGTACTTAAAGACATGTACATATACTAAGGTACATAACCTTTGTGTATAAAGTAACGAAAGTAAACAGCCAAGCGCCAATGTTTCATGCTTCAAGGTTTCTCTGGTAATTAAGAATTTTGAAGTGAAAAAGTGAAAAGTGTTGCATGTTGTATTTTACAAAAATAACTTAAGGTATCAAACATGTGTAACACAGATAAGCCCTAATTTGTAATGTACCATTTATACTTGCCGTTCTTGCGCAGTGTTTTTTGTCATTGCTATTTGAAATTTTGTAACTGTGTAAACATCTTATTCCTACATTCCTACCTAGTTATTTATAGTTGTAATTATAGTTTCAACCAATAAGTAATAGTAATTAATAGAGAAGGGTGTGTGTGTGTATGAATGAGTGAGTGAGTGAGTGAGTGAGTGAGTGAGTGAGTGAGTGAGTGAGTGAGTGAGTGAGTGAGTGAGAGGGGAAGGAAAATTGCGGCAAACTGCTCCGCAATTGATCAAACTTGCATATGCAACGTTACGTAAATAATAATCCTAATATTTTTATAGAGCATAAACTTTTGAATGTGCACATTTCGGCCAGCTGAGAGTCTTTTATCCTTGTTCATTTATTGCAGCCCGATCGAATTCTGATTAGTCAATTGCTCACGATTGACAAAATACGTACGCTTACCTGGGATCTGTGAACCGAAACCGTATGAAGCCTTATGCAATAATTTCTGAGTTTGAATTATTGCGAGAAGTCTACGTCAAGTTCAAGTCCGTCACGTTTCGTCACAACACAAGCACTGGAAGTCGAGTCAAATTTCGTCAATTCGATAAGTTTCGCACAGACACACACTTGCCTGCTGCGTCACGCGTAGAATAATTTCCGATCCTATGTGTACGAATGCCGTTTGGGCGTGACCAAAAGCACAGAATTACTAGGACCAATGCGAAAATGTCCAATAGGTCGGAATGCCATTAACCCTAGTTTATGTGGCTTGATCTGCAGGTGGCAAACGATCCGGTGCGATTATGGCGGGTGGCTCGCAACCGGCTAACCGTGATCCGACCAACAACTGACATTACCGGCGAGTGACTGGTGCCCACGGTATTTATCACCAGCCATAAACGATTCTTACGAAAATATCGAATATAATCAATACAGCCAGTTATTGTGTCGATACTACCAGAAAAAGTTATTGAAAACAAAGCTTGCAGCTCATATTGTTTGAATATGAAGTATGGATGAAAAATTATATCGGGACTCGAGACAATCCTTGTGCATTTATCGTACATTTGTCGATGAGTGTTGCGTAAAGAGAAGGAGAGAAACAGAGAAAGAGAGAGAGAGAGAGAGAGAGAGAGAGAGAGAGATAGAGAGAGCGAGATAGAAAGAGAGAGAGAGAGAGAGAGAAAGAAAGAAAGAAAGAAAGAGAGAGATAGAAAGTGAGAAGGAGGGAGAGAAAGAGGCAGAAGATAAAAGACAGAGAGAAAGGGAGAGAGAGAAAGAGAGATATAGAGATAGAGAGAGAGAGGGTGAAAAAGAGGGAGGGAGAGAGACAAGATATATATATATATATATATACATGTATACATATGCATATATATATATATATATATATATATATATATATATATATATTTAACATATTTAACATGTAGCATATATTCACGTATATATTTTACACATATATATATATATATACACACACATATACATAGAAATAAATATCTGATTTTGGGTGCACGTAGATGTGTTAATCAAGACTAGCACTATTTATCGTTAACTTGTAATCTGAAAACAATCTTTTTAGCTTTTCGATACAGTTGCAGTTTTCCTACCGTATGCCATATTCTTTGGATGAATCAGCGTCCGAGTACTACTTGGAAAAGTGAAATCTTGTTTTCTTTAGGAGCAGCTGTACTTCAACTGGAGTTGTAACTATTGCTCGTGTTTACGTCGATTAAAAGTGTTTTGCTCTCTCGATGCGGTTAACTTTGATACATACAATATATGACGTACGCACATACACACACACGCACACACACACACACACACACACACACACACACACACACACACACACACACACATATACACACACACACACACACACACACAGAGGCATACACACACACACACACACATCTATTTTGGTTTTTGAGTTTACTATTTATTTATCTATTTCTTTTTCATGGTTTTTATTTTTCTCTAGTTATTTTCCTTATAATTTTTATCTCTCGTGACAAACACATGCATATATTTTACAAACATTTAAATCAAGGTCTCTATGGTACGCAAAGCAGTTCTCTCATAAGATTGTTGCTTTCCATAATTTATGTTTTATATAATCACAAAAAACAGATTCATATTGTTATATATTTTTTTGTAGAAGTTCATATTTACCAGTTAGCTTTTATTTATTCTAGGAACGATGTTATTTTATCATTTTTGCAATGACTTCGAGTTATTATGTTTATTACTATAAGAAGCTTTTCTAAATTTTCATATAGGTGATCTAATTAGTTCTACTTTACACTTCTGCGTTTGTAGATATACATTTAAGGAGATATATATAAATATTTTATATATATATATATATATATATATATAGTCATATATTTGCACGTATGCGATAAGCAATTTTATATATATATATATATATATATATATAAAAGTGTGTGTGCGTGTGCGTGCGTGCGTGCGTGCGTGCGTGCGTGCGTGCGTGCGTGCGTGCGTGCGTGCGTGGTGCGTGCGTGCGTGCGTGCGTGCGTGCGTGCGTGCGTGCGTGCGTGCGTGCGTGCGTGCGTGCGTGCGTGCGGCGTGCGTGCGTGCGTGCGTGCGTGCGTGCGTGCGTGCGTGCGTGTGTGTGTGTGTGTGTGTGTGTGTGTGTGTGTGTATGTGTGTGTGTGTGTGTGCGTGCGTGCGTGCGTGCGTGTGTACACATACACGTACACATCTACTAAATAAAGTTATCTACTTAAATATATTCGAGAGTCGATCCACTGCCCCTTTGGCGAATGACACTATAGGTCTATTACGTCATTTCTATATACCGTCTGCATATAATTTTTTTTTCGTAACTTAACAGTGATTCTCTAATATTTCCAGGGGTCAAGTTGAGATACTCTCTCTTTTTTCTTTTTTTCTTCAACGATAAATGGAATCTTCCTTTTGTCAAAAGTCAAACTTTTGCTTCGATTTCAATTTTTAATATCAATTAACGTAAAAGAATCTAGTGAAATATAAATCCGTTCCGTTGCTTTGCAGGTCGGCGAGCGGTAACCAGGACTCTCTGAACGATAGGTACATTCAATTTTCATTATTTTTTTCATTTATTTTTATACTCGATCGTAACAATAAACTATGAGAAAATGAGAAGAAAGGTCACGCGTGACCTCTGACGCTACACATACACACTTCTGCATCTTAAATTTGTGATCGGCTGTGAATGAATTGTTACGTAGCTTGTAACAGTCACTCGCGAAAGAGGCGTGGATACATTGCCACGCGCTGTACCGTCTATGATGCACCGTCTTTATCGCAGATAACTTTCCGCTCGCAGTTGCAGAGATTTGAGAATTGACCGACTTTATAAGCCTGAATAATATTTCTATTTTAACGATAAATCATAAATTACTAGTTATAAACGCTTGATTTTGTACTGACAGTAACTAAAGACCCAATTCAAGACGAAAGTACCATTTGTTCGCACTTCTTAACTTTAACTTGTTGCTTTCGTTCTTCGCAGGAAGTTATTTGTCGGTGGTCTAAGCTGGGAAACAACTGATAGTGAGTAACTATTTAGTCCTTTTTTTTTGAAATTACCTTTGCACAATATATAAGTATACCTTTGCAATGTTTCAACATATGCAATGTTTGTAACATATGCGACAAATTGCACGGTGATAAACTATAGAGTGAAAATGAATATAGACCGTGGTAATAGCTATGATGCATCATCACTTAGGACACCTTCGGATGACAAATGTCATATGAGAAAAATCTTTCTATCTGAGTTCAATAATGATCGTTCAAGCCGTTGACTTTAAGATTATGCAGAATTTAAGGTCCT